TGCCTTCCCAACCTGGACACTGCGGAATGGGGCTTGGGGGCCAGCAGCATCCTTTGGGCACTGGTACTTTACACTGGAACCCCCCTGCTCGTTCTGTCAGGGCAGAAATGGGGAAGAAAGTTGCTTTAAAGCAAATCTTCTGCCGGCCTCATTTCCTATGGTCTTAAACATAGGAACACAGGGCTGGTTATGCTGGGCAAAGGAAGGCAAGGAAGGGAGAGAAATAACCTCCATCACGCTGGCCCTGGCCCCTCCCCAGTGCTGCGCCCTCCAAACGAGCTCTTATTAGTTTGCTTGTTGTCATTTGCCAGATCAATGGTCCATGGAGGAGCGATCGATGGAGACGCAGCCGGCTAATAGCGCCATGCGCTTGGCGCTCGGTGCCAGGCTCCCTGGGGACCCCCAAATCCCATCACTGCACCACAGGGTGTTCCTCACCCAGGGGAGACCCATCCGGATCCCTCCGAGGGTGCTGGGGAGCCAGCCAAGGTGCGCAGTGCTCATGGGATGGGTCCTGGAGGGTCTAAGAGTGGCCATAGGCTGTGCGGACATCTCTCCATCCCTCCTGAGGACACCAAGCCCTTTGTGCTGGCTGCATGCAGGGCGGTGGGGTGGGAGGGCAGAAGTGGGGCTCCCATCGATCGATTAATTAATTAATGGAGGGTGCTGTAGGTAGAGCTGCGCTAATGAGGGGTGACATCACTGGTGGAGGAGGTGGTCCCCAGAGCCTGTCCCCTGCCTCTCAATGGGGTGACACAGGGACCATGGGCACACGCTGCCCTTGGCCTCCTGCCCTCCCTCCTTGCTCGCACACCGGGGCCCTGCCTGCTGCATTCAGGCAGCACAAGGGAGAAGGGAATGGAGGGGGGGGGGGGCTCCACAATGTGAGGCCATTAGCATTGAAAATCCATGCAAAGCAGCTGTTCCTGCTTGGAGCGTGCAGCTGGATCCGGCTGTGGAGTGGGAGTCGAGGCGCTGAGACAGGAGGAAACCTCACGGCGCAGAGCATCACCCCTAATTCCTTTAGGGCCCCATCCAGAGCGAGCCTGGAGGATCCTTGCCAAGGGGTTGGCCAAGTGGGCTCTGTCTGAGTTGAGGTCCTGTGTGGTGGGGTGTGCATCTGTCCCGGGGAGGGATGCAGGATGCTCATCTCCCCCTTTCTCCCCTCGGCCTCCCGCCGCGCTGGGTTTTTTTCCGCTCCATTTGCCAGAGGCTGGAGCTGCTGCCTGATCGTATTTGGTAATAAATTATTAGTTCCAGCGCTCGGGAGCCCGGGAGCTCAAAATAGCTGCTTTTAAAGCGGGCAGCTGGTGCAGGTTGAGTTCAATGGCAATCTGCTCTGAAGGGCACTTCATGCTCATTAGGGGCCTTTCAAGGTGCTGTGGGGGAGAGGATGCTGAAACCAAGGTGCTAGACCTGCATTTCCCAGCAGCTGCCTGCAATGGGAATGGGGATGCAGGAAGGGCAGCCGTGCCGAGGGGAAGGATCCCGGGGTTTTGGGGTGCTGGGAGCCCATCCCTGCCCCAGTGTGGCTGCTGGCATGTCTTATTTGTCTCCATCCCCACCAGGCAGCCAGACTGGTTCTGCTCTCGCTGCCGGAGGAGGCACCCGCTGCCAAAAAACCCACCAGCATCATCAGGAGCAGATGGAGAGGAGATGGCACGTTCCCAGCTCCCAGCCCTGCGCCGGGGATGCTGGGGGACAGCGGGTGCTGGGGTACAGGGGGACAGGGACATCCCCCCCACCGTCAGCAGACAGGGGTTTGGGGTTGTGCTCTGTTAGGGGTGCCAACCACATGGTACCAGGAAGGGGTGCCAGGACGCGGGGTAGCATAAGGAAGGGTGGAAGGGGACACGGTGATGGCATTGCCGTCCCCTTCTCGTCTTGCTGCCAGGCAGGGACATGCCTGCTCCTGTGGGCAGGCAGCCAGCAAGGCACTGGGAATGCCAGACACTCCCTGCCCCGGCACATGCCTCAGGAAAGGGACAAGGACACGGTGACACATTGCCTGGTCCCCGGTCCCCAACCCTCCCCATAGCCTCAGCAGGGGATCCAGGCACCCTGCAGCATCCTGCCTTGGCTTGGTGGTGGATGTACAGGCAGCTGCCTGCGTGCAGGGGCAAAGGCAGCAAGTGATGCCCGAGGGCAGGAATATGGGGGGGTGCCAGCCCCTCTCCCTGCACCTCCATAGGGCCCCATTTCAGGGTTCATCACCCCACCCTGGTGAGGCATCCGCTGGCTGCGGACTTGACCTGTTTTTCCGCATGGATCTGCCTGTCGGGAGAAGCAGCCAGGGAGGGACAGGAGAGGGAAGAAGCCCCACCTCGCTGTGGGGTGGCACCGCGTCCCCAGCCATCACAGGGACAGCGGCACCCGCAGAGGTGAGTGGCACCCGTGCCACACCGGTGGCGGCATGCCGGTGGGATGGATGGATGGATGGATGGATGGATGGATGGATGGATGGATGGATGGAGGGACACCGCGTGGTCCCGCATCCCCACTCCTACGCCGAGTGCCTCAGTTTCCCCATCTGGCAGCTGTCCTATGGAGCAGCACAGGGACGCCCGGACAGACGGACGCCAGCTCCGTCGGGGCAAGGCGGGTGAGCGGCGCTGCTCGGGCCCCAGCCAGGGCGGAGGCACTGATTTTATCACGGGGCAGGAGCGGCAGAACTGGTTTGGGGCAGCGGCAGAGCTCACGTTAGCGAGCCAGGCCCGAGGAGAGGAGAGGAGAGAGGGGGGGGGATGAGTTCCCGATATGGTTTCCAACGAGCTGCTGGCTTGGAGCTTGCCCTGTGCTCGCCTGGCAAATCCCGGTGGGATCATGAGTTAGCTGGGAGGCGTTTGGGGCTGCCGAGATCAGCTGAGCATCACACGGGTGACGCTGTGCCGCCAGCCCTCGTGCCCCGGTGAGCGTGTGTGAGCATGATAATCCCCGCCGGCTGCTTATAGCAGAGTGGGTCCAGCCTTGGGTGGGGGCTTGGGGGGGGGGGGGGTGTTATGGTGGGTTTAATGGGTGGGGAGAAGGTGAGGGGGTATGGGGAAGTGTCCTATGGGGGTGCAGGGCTGTGCTAAGGGGGTGCAGGGCAGTGCCGTGGGGATGCAGGGCAGTGCTGTGGGGATGCAGGGCAGTGCCATGGGTATGTGGGGCTGTGTTTGTAAAAGCAGAGCAGTGCCATGGGGTTGTGGGGCTGTGCCATAAGGATTCAGGGCTGTGTGAAGGGGATAGAGAGCAGTGCCGAGGAGATGCAGGACAGTGGCATGGAGATGTGGGGCTGTGCCATGGCGATTTGGGGCTGTGTTAAGGAGATACAGGGCAGTGCCACGGACATGTGGGGCTGTGGTAAAGGGATGCAGTGCAGTGCTGTAGAGATGGGGGGGCTGTGTTAAGGGAATACAGGGCAGTGCCCAGGGGATGCTTGGCAGTGTCAAGGGGATGCAGGGCTGTACCCAAAGGATGCAGGGCAGTGCCCTGGGACAGCACATAGGTGCGCAGTGCATGCATATCCCAACATCCCGCTGTCTGTTGGACACCCACTCACTCCTATGGGGGTCCCCATGCCAGTGCAATGCTTGGGGGGTAGGGGGGGGTGCCCGTTCCAAGGCCGTCCGTGTGCGCGTTGGCTTCCCCAGCTGTTCTGGTAATGAATTTACATGAGCCGAGCGTGTCGACAAGGCGGCAGTCAATGGCTGAGAGCACCGGAGTTAATAAATGCTTGTATAATGAGGGCAGAGGGGAGCGCACGCCGCAGCGCCGGCCGCCTCTCCTGGGGCCGGGGGGCAAAGATTAATCAATGCTGAGTGGCACTGCTGGCCCCCCCCCATCCCCACTGCTCTGCACGGCCAGCCCTCTGCCATGGGATGCTCTGGGGTCTCTGCCATTGCCTCCATTGGGAGCTGGGATGGGGGGGGGGGATGCCCCTTGGTACCCCCTTGTTCTCTGCTCCCCACCTGGGAGCAGGGCTAATTTTAGGCTGGTGTTAATGAAGCTGCTCGTTTGGAAGTCTATTTTAAGGTCCCTGACATCAGCAGTTGCTGTTTTGGGAGGTGGAGAGCCCTGGAGCAGCCTGGTTGTGACAGCTGGGGGGCCCCCCCCTGTTCAGCAGCACCCAAACCCTTACCCTTAGGGACTGCTGTGCCCCATAGCGTCCCTATGCTATGGGGTGTGCCCGTGGGGACTTGGGGGTGCCATGGTGAGCGTTTGAGCCTGGCAGCGCTGGGGGGGGGGGCAGTGGTGGGGGTTTGGAGCTGCAATGGGGCTGCAGTGGTGAGGATTTGAAGGTGCAGTGGTGGGGGCTTGGGAATGAAGGGGGGGGACGACACTATGGGTGTGATATGAGGGGTTTGGGGATGTGCTGGTGGTGATTTGAAGGTGACACAGTGGGGATTGAAGGTGCAATGGTGGGGGTTTGGGAGAGCAGTGGCGGGGATAGGGGGATGCAATATTGGGAAAGTGAGGGAGCAATGTGGGGACTCGGGGGTGCAGTGGTGGGGACCCAGGGATGCAGTATTGGAGATCTGAGGGCAGGGATTTGGGGTGCAATGGTGGCAGTTAGGGGTGCAGGTGTGATGCTTCAGGTTTTGGCAGCACCATGCAAGTCAGGAGGCTACCTAGGCCTTTCCCCATCACCTCCATCAGGATGCTGATATCCCAATGTCCCCCCAAAACACCTTCCCCCCTTCCCATGGGGCTCTGCTGAGTCCCCCTGTGCTGTTTCCTGGGAGCCTTTGGGATTGGTGGGGCTGTGGGATGCTGATGGCAGCTCCTGTCCCCCACGTCACCTCGTTTTCCATGGGCACACTTACTTCATTAGGTAAGCTGCTGCCCCATAAGAATTGCTTGTGCCTGCCTGCTCGCATCCCACCCACTGCATGAGGTGGTAAACCAGATGGAAGGTCTCGCTTATCCTGCTCATTGTTCCAGCTTCAAGGGGGATTTGGGACCCGCTCTCCCCTCTCCCATCCCTGTATCCCGCTCTAACACACTGCTCCCATCCGCAGGCATGAGCCATGAGCCGAAGTCGCCGTCCCTAGGAATGCTCTCCACCGCCACCCGCACCACCGCCACCGTCAGCCCGCTCACCCCATCGCCTCTCAACGGCTCCATCGTCCCCAATGGCAGCCCTGCAGCCAGCAGCACTTTGTCCGTCCAGGCAGCACCTTCCTCCAGCTTCGCCGCCGCGCTCCGCAAGCTCGCCAAGCAAGCCGAGGAGCCCAGAGGTAGGGGATGAGGATGGGGATGGGGATGAAGGGGATGCTGAGCATCGCTGCTGCCACCCGCGGTGCCGTTTCCCTCCCCATTTCCCAAGCTAATGTCTTTCCCTAGCGTTGTGTCTCGAGGGAGCAGTTAAGAAACTCAGTTCAGCCAGGGTAATCCTAATGCTGTATCACTTGTTATACCCCGGGAGAAAGCCTGGGAGAGCATGGCATGGGGGTACCTGTCCCTCACTGCCCCTCCAGCCTTGTTCTTTCCTCCTACGCTTCACTTCAATGCTGTTTTATCCAGAGGCGCCTCAAACCTGTTCGTTTTCCAGCTGAATTTCCCAGCTGAACAGCCAATTTTGGCACCTCCAGGAGGTCCCCAGCCCCCATCACAGTGTGATGGCCTGGTTGATGGCCTCTGTCACATACCCACCTTGCTTGGATGTGGGGTGCAGTTCGCAATGTCAGATGCTGCTGATCCCGAGTTCTGTGCTGCTGCAGGGAGTGCGTCCTATGGGAATAGCCAGGGCTGTCCCACATGCACAGGAGGAGGCAACATGTCCCCAGAGTGCCAGAGTTTCACCAGGAGACTCCTGGCATCATCAGTTTGCAATGCAGTCATATTCATCCCTGTTGTTACTGTTGGTGGGTGCTCCCTGTTGGGTCGTTGCCCACCTCCCAGGCACTTTGGGACATGGGGAGGATGCCGACCCTTTGCAAGGTACTTTATGGACGTTCCCTTTTTGCAAACACCATCTCCAGGACCCTCCCCACAGCCCCCCCCATCAGATTGAAATGTCCTGGCACGGCCATGCCCCAAAGCCTCTGGCATTAGCTGCTCCTGATGGGAATGCCAGGTCCCTGTGATGCCAATGGGACCTGGTCTTGGTGATGCTTCATCCTGGCTGGGAGCATCCTGGCTCTGTCCTCCAGACCCCATCTGCTTTCTTTGGGGTGGTCAGGTGTGGGTAGGGGATTATTTTGCCTTTCCTTCCCCCCTACGCCTCACAGCTCCTGTCCCCTCCTCTCTGCTCAGCCCATCTGAAAGGACATCAGCAGGCTTTGGCATGGATTTCATGGTGCTGAAGGGAAGCAGCTGCGTTCCCTTTGGATTTCCTCATAACGACTTGCCCATCTGGGTGCCCAGAGTGGGTTTTTAATAGGCATGAGTGTGGGTGCGTGTCGGGAAGGGTGTTTCTTTCCACGCCGTGGCTTTTTAGCCCTAGGAAATGCATTGCTTTGCCCCCAAACCCTCACCCCGCTTCCCACAATGGGAGATGCTCCGCTGTGGCAGATGCAGCTGATGGGGTGATGCCAAATGAGTCCATCCAGCTTTTCTACTGGGTTTATGGGTTTATGGGACATCTGTAGGGATGTTCTGCTCCCACAGAGCATCCCCAGCTGCAGGGGCTCATCCTGAACCATTCCATCCCAGCAAATCCATTGAAGCCGTCGCCTGGCTGGGGGCTCCTGCCTCTCATCCTACCCCAGGCTGTCAGCAGGGTGGGTTTTATTCCCTCCCTCTCTCCTTTCTTCCCCCCCCTTCTCCTCCTTCAGGGTCTCAGCTGTTAATTACATTTGCCTGTCAGCCTGGGCTGCTAATCTGCTATCGCGGAGCAGAAAGCGGGAGGTCAGAAAACAAAGGTGACACCATCACACTGTGCCTCTTGTCATCTCCAATCCAGATTAGTTTCATTGACTAACTCCTGGCTGAATACCACCAGTTAATTATAACGATCACAAACCCTCCCGTTTAAAGCCACACAGCGAGAATTAAGGTTCTGAAGTAAGACTTTAGCTTCATTAATTGCCGGGCTCATTGTAATGGTATTGATTGTTAACGCTATCGCGTGGTGAGTAATGGCTTCCCAGCTCAGAGGGGATTAGGCTGCTAATTGTTGTTGGCCTTGCGCTGACAAGATAGACTTCAGTGGGTGTCAAATCCGTATCGGCGGCCTCCTTTGTCACGGGCAGCCTTTCTCTTGCCCTGAGTCTCACTGCTCTTGAAATGAAAGCGATTCGGAGCGACTCGGGAATAATTAATAGGACAGGACGGATGGCAGCAGGCTGCTCCGCTTGGCCTCGCTGCTCCGAGCATCCTTCCCAACGCATGGGGATGATGGGTTTTCCTGTGGCATTCCTGGCCCTGCCACATCCCGGCTCCCTCCTGGTGTTATGCTGAGTGTGGTGAGGAGAGCGTGGGGCTTTTGGATGGGTTGTTAGCTTATGCAGGGGGGCTGGCTTATCGTCTATGGGATAGAAAGGACCTTAAGGCTCATCCAGGTCCACCCCTCTGCCATGGGCAGGGGCACCTTCCACTACAGCAGGGTGCTCCAAGCCCCATCCAACCTGCCCAGGGATGGAGCATCCACAGCTTCCTTGGGCAAAGACTTTCACACTTGAAAGGCAAGGAGACACCTTATACCCTATGGGGAGCTGGTGTGAATGCTTGCAGGGCATGGAGTCAGGTTGCACGCTTAGGGTAGGGAAAGCCCCTCTCAGTGCCAACTCAGTGCTGGAATGGGGAGCATCCTCACCTATCCGCTGGCATCCTCTGGTGACCACAGGCCAGCCCTTGGTGACCAGTATCTGGTCCCTAATGGCATATGGGAAGCCTTCCCTTAGCCCATATTTCAGGATGCTGAGAGCAGGGTTTGGAGGGTAGGAGCCCCCAAACTGCCCGTCTGGCTCTTTGGACCAGCCCCTGTGCCTATGCCCTAATTCACATTGAATTTGTATTCCTGCTCCAGCCCTGCTCTCCGCTTTAATTCCATTTTTGTGTTTTCCCTTGGAAACACGGCCAGCATCCCCGGGGTGGTTTATAATTTAAAATACAGATGTATTATGCAAATAAAGCCAAAGCTTTGCCCAAGGGTTATGGGGAGCGACTCCTTCCTTCATCCCAGCGCCTCCGAGTGCCCTGGCACGGAAGCACACGGCAACTTTCACAGACGGATTAAGGAATCTGTGGGTTCGGCTGGAAAAGATACTGCTGCCCGGGGTTGGCATCGCATCGGTGCTGCTCGTGCCAAGGCGAGCTGCGCAGGCAGGGCTTCCTGCACCCATGTAGGGCTTTACAGCCCCTATTAGATGGGAGCTGAAGGTGCCCGTCCCACTGTGTGGGGCAAAGCCTTTTAGCACTGCAGGGACAGTGCTAAATCCCTTAGGATTTAGGGATCCCTTAGGACAGGGATCCTTGGGGATGGGAGGGTGGGAGTCCAACTTGGCGGGCTGGAGGGATGCTGACCGCATTGTATGCATCCCTGTGCTTCATCCCTGGTCCTTGCAGAGGGGCATCCCACCAGGAATAGCTTCAGCTTGTCAGGAGAGTGGTTTTAGCTGGTTAAAAACTGCCTTTTCCCCCCATTTATGTTAACTTTTGATTCAATTCCAGGGTCTTCAATAAGCAGCGAGTCATCCCCGGTCTCCTCACCAGCCACCAACCACAGCTCCCCTGCCAGCACACCCAAACGTGGCCCCATGGGCCCCATCATCGTGCCCCCAGGGGGGCACAGCGTGCCCAGCACGCCACCCGTTGTCACCATTGCACCCACAAAGACTGTCAATGGGGTCTGGAGGAGCGAGGGCAGACAGGTATGGATGGATGCGTTTGAGGGGTGCATGATCCCCCCCCCCCCCCCCAAAGGATGGAGGATGCGGGATGATAGCGCTGCCTGTGGTCCCCCTCCAAAGGATGGAGGATGCGGGATGATAATGCAAACTGTGGTCCCCCACAAAGGGTGGAGGATGCGGGATGACAGTGCTAACTGTGGTCCCCCCCTCAAAGGATGGAGGATGTGGGATGCACGGCACTGATAGTGCCAACTGCAGTCCAAAGTGCCAGGATCCACATTGCCACGGGGCTCCCCCCCCCTCCCCTTTTTATCCCTTCTCCATCATCCCCAGGCTGCCATCCGGAGGGAAGGAGAGTGAGGAAGAGGGGAGGGGGGGGAGAGCGGCTAATTAAGAAGCATCGTTAGTGGTTCTCCTCTCCTCCACACGCTACAAGCAGATTCCCGGGGGGATTATGCCACTTGGAAAGACTAATTAAACCACAAAGCAGAGAGGCGATGGGAGGGGATGAGAAACGCCGAGGGCGGGGAGCGGGGGGAAGCAAATGGAATCGTGATCCCTGGATGCTCAGGGGGGTTATCCAGGTGCTCCCCATCGCCATGTCCACCACCCCCCCCCCCCCTTCACTGTGTCACCCCCTCCACTGTGACCCCGCAGCACCGGGGTTAACCGAGCGTGGGTTATTGTCTGGCAGCGCCTCGCTCGCAGCGTGACGCCCCGAGACAGGGAGGTAATTAGAGCAGAGCCTGGCACGCACAATGAGCCTTAATGCAGGCGGCAGAGGTGGCGGGGACGGGGTTGGGGGGGGAATGACAACACCCTTTGTGCAGGCTGCGGTGACCTTGGGACTGTCCCCAACAGCCAGGGACGTGAGACAGGGACCGGTACTGGATGGGGAAGGGATGCGGGGTGATAAAGGATGCTGCCTTCCTGCTCCTATAGCCGCTAAACAGAGAAGATGCAATGGAAAAAGATTGCTTTTAAACCCAGTTTGACTTGATGGAGGTCACACCCCTAATTGCCAGACCCTGTGGGGTTTCTTGTCACCTTTGCCATGGGGTCCATCCCCAGCCGATGTGGGTGATGGAAGGGAGCAAGCCTCATCCCAGTGCCGGGATGGGGGGCTGATGGAAGATGGATGAGGCCCTGCAGGGAGGCTGGGATGCTCATGGGTTGACCTCTGGTTTATGGCCGCTATCAAAGGCCTGTTGGATTTCCACAGGCTGTGTCTGCATCCTCCATGGGTAATTAATTAATAGGTAACCTATCAGCAGTGCTTGTTCCAGCTTCAGCACCCTCTCTGCTGGTGCACCCCCTGCATAACCCCTGCAGACCCTCACTCTTCCCAGCCTGTCTTTGGATGCGCTGGGTGCAGGAGGATGCTCCGGTGGATGCATCCTCCTGCATGTACTGGTGCCAGCTGGGACCCTGCAAGCACAGTGATACCCACTAAGGGTCTTGAGGTGGGGAGACAGCAGGGACCCCTGCATGCTTTGTGGGCTCCCTGCCATCCCCTAATGCCTGTCTTGGTGTTTGTCTCCTTGCCTTGTAGCAAGAAGCAGGGTCTCGGGGCAGCAGCAGCAGCAGTGGCCGCGAGCGCCTCATCTCGGAGCCCCCCCTCTCTCAGGAGAAAGCGGGGGGCCCCACAGTTCCCTCCCATCTCCTGGGGACACCCTACTCCTTCGGGCTGCCCCCCAGCTCCGTGGTCCAAGACTCCCGCTTCCCGCCTCTCAAGTGAGTCCAGTGGCAATGGATGGGGAAGGGGTTGCGGGATGCAGGTATCCCCTGCGAGCTCTGGTCCTGTTGAGCATCCTGAAGGGGTGACATCCCCATGGGGGACAGGTTGGGATGTGACCATCTCCCTGCTACCCCCAGCCTGCAGCGGCCGGTCCACCACGTGGTGCCTCCGAGCGCGGTCACCGAGGATTACCTGCGCAGCTTCCGTCCCTACCACACCGCCGAGGACCTCCGCATGTCCTCCCTGCCGCCACTCGGCCTGGACCCGGCTGCTGCTGCTGCTTACTACCACCCCAGCTACCTGACACATCACCCCTTCCCACACCCTGCCTTCAGGTGGGTATCACCAGGGAAGGTTGGAGCCAGCCCCGGAAGGATGGTTGGGCTGCACTTAAGGGCATCTTGGGGCTCTTCAGACCCATCTCTGAGCACGAGGCAGCCCACATCTAGCTTGATGGGAAGGGAATTGGGGGTTTCTTCCTAACCCTGTGTGATGCATCCCTCTGAGCATCCCTCTCTCCCCAGGATGGACGAGTCGTACTGCCTGTCAGCGCTGCGGTCCCCCTTCTACCCGCTGCCAGCGCCAGGCTCGCTGCCACCCCTGCACCCCTCGGCCATGCACCTGCACCTCTCGGGGGTACGGTACCCCCCCGAGCTCTCGCACTCTTCCCTCTCCGCCCTGCAGTCCGAGCGCATCTCCAGCCTCGCCGCAGAGAGGTACGGAGGGGTGATGGCTGGGACAGGGGATGGATAGGGTGCTCCAAGGGATGCCGACATCCATCCGGGGGGTGTTTGGGGTTGGGATTTTCCTGTTGGGCTTCTCTTCGCAGGCTGCAAATGGATGAGGAGCTGCGGCAGAGGGAGCGTGAGCGCGAGCGGGAGCGGGAGAAGGAGCGAGAGCGAGAAGCCGACCGAGAGCGGGAGAAGGAGCGCGAACGGGAGCGGGAACGTGAGAAGGAGCTGGAGAGGGAGCGGGAGAAGGAGCGCGAACGGGAGCTGGAGAGGCAGCGGGAGCGCGCCAGGGAGAAGGAGCTGAGCATGGTGAAAGCCATGGAAGGGCCGTTCCTCCCCGTGGCAGAGCTGCACGGACTGCGGGGACACCCGGCCGAGGAGCGGGGCAAGCCAGCAGAGCCACTGGTACCCATCAGACCAGGTACAGCATCCCTGTGGGTGACACTGGGGGGGATGCAGCCATCGGCACAGCTCGCCACAGGTCCCTTTCCCCCTCCAGATGGCAAAGCCGAGGGGGTCAGTGGCCCCGGGAGGTGGCTGGGGATGGAGCCGGGCTGCCAGCTTGCTGTGCCAACAGCCCAGCTGCCGCGGCTCTCGGGGAGGCGGCGCGGTGCCGGTGCCATCTGACTCGGTCCGGTGTGGATGTGAGCGCAGTGCCGGGCATGCCCGGCAGCAGGGATGGCAGGGAGGGAGTACTGGGCTTTGGCTGGTGGCTGCCCCACAGCTCTGCCCATATTGATGCTTGGGGGATGCTCTGCGTACCCCATAACACCCTGATAACCAATAGCGTGGTCCCCCCTTTCCATGCCCTGACTCTCCGGTACCCCCTTTCCAACACAGAGAAACTGAAGGACACGGTGCTGCCAACACCAAAGCCTATCCAGCACCCTCTGCACCCACCACCGGCCTCACACCACCCCGTGCCCAGCCTCATCCCCAACCACAACGTGTTCCCGCTGCCGGGAAGCAGCGCGGCCACGGCGCTGCTCATCCACCGCACCAACGAGGAGGAGAAGTGGCTGGCGCGGCAGCGCCGGCTGCGCCAGGAGAAGGAAGATCGGCAATCCCAAGTCTCAGAGTTCCGGCAACAAGTGCTGGAGCAGCACCTCGACATGGGGCGCACACCGAGCCAGCCTGAGCCCGAGCATCGCCCCGAGCATCCCAGGTAGGGATGCTGCATCGGGGATGAAGCCTCTCCCCGCAGACCGTAGCTGTTTTCCCAGCTCACAGCCCATCCCTCTGTAACATCTATACATCTACAAACATACCTATATAACACCTATAGGGTTTTTTGCTGTTACCCCATTGCTGTGCCTGCCTCATTAGGCAGCTCTCCCCCTCCCCATTAGGTACCCAGCCTCCATCGCCGTGCCCCCCGCACATCCCCGCTGCGCTCGGCCGGTGCCAGCAGGTCCCCGCCGCACGGTGCCAGCCAGGCCGGCTGTGCTGGCAGCGCCGGGCATCACCGGTGCCCGACATCTGCGCGGCGGCAGGCAGCGAGCCCGGGAGGTGGCCACGGGCCAGCAGCGAGTGGCCAGGAGCTGCCCAGGCACCGGCACCGCTAATTGCAGCTCCCCACTGTGTGGTGGACCCAGGCAATGGGATGCTCTGTTTTTGCTGGGGGGGGACGGCACACATGCCCCAAAGACATGTGGTGTTGCTGGGGGGCAGAGCGGTGTGGCTGCACCCCCTGGTTGGCTTGCTGGGCTGTTAAGCAGTGCAGGCTCATCCAGCCAGCTCTGCCGCTGGCTCCTTTTGTTATTTTTGGGTATCCAGGGGATTAGCGTGGCTCATGGAGGATAATAAGGAGCGGATCATGGGGCGGCACAAAGGCGAGTGCCTGTCACAGCATCCCTTCCCCATACACTCCTTCCATCCCAAATGGGAGAGGAGAGAGCAAGGTCACCCCGAAACACCTGCAGATGGGGTTACTGCATCCTTATCCTCATGCCCATCCTCATGAGGATGTCCCCACCCCCTTTCCCACCCTCATTCTTACCCTCATCCTTGTCCTCACCCCCATTCTCATCCCCACATCCCTATCCCCATCCCCATCCTGGGGCTGATGAGGACCAGTCCCAGCAGGGCAGGCGATGCTTCCCACCCGCAGTGACAAGGTGCCGGATGGCAGCACGGAGCTGATCCCACTGCTCCCTGCACAGAGGTCCAGGGCGCTGGAGCGGAAAAGCGTTAAATGCACAGCTTGGGCACATGAAATATTTATCCTGCTAACGGGCTGGCTCCATCCTGGCTGTCGGAGCAGGGCTGCACCAGGGCGCTGCCATTGCACAGCAGGGCTGTGCCGGCCCCAATGGCTCTCTTGTCTTCCCCGTGGTGGGCAGCCCTGCAGTCCCTTGCTCAGCATCCCAGGGATGCAGCTGCATCCCTGCTCAACCCACACAGCCGTAACTCTGTCCCACGTCCCTCTGGGAGCTGGCACAGGAGGAGGATGTGTGTGGCAGCCCCAGTGCACAAACCCTTCTTGGGTGTCCCTAACTTACGTTTCCCCCCCAGAAGCAGCTCAGTGTTGGTGTGTGGCTGGCTCTCCAGCAGCACTACCAGCCCATCACCTCTCTCATCCTCTCCTCTCCCCACAGGTCAGGATCCAGCCGCCATGAGCCAAGCAGCCGGGAGCCAGGGCAGCACTTCGGCGGGCCCCCACCACTCATCTCACCCAAGCCCCAGCACCACCCGGTCACCACATCCCTCTGGAATCCCGTCTCTCTGATGGAGAGCCCCCCTGATCCACCCCGGCGCCTCCCGGAGCCCCACACCCTCCATGGCCACCCGGCCCCCTTCGAGCCCAGCCGTCAGGGCATCCCACTGGTGAAGGTGGAGAGGGTCTTCTGCCCTGATAAGCTGGAGGAGGTGACGAGGAAGAGGGATGCTCTGGAGAAATACCCTCCAGGACGGGAGCCTGTTGCTGCGGAGCACGGGAGCTTCACCCATGCCCCTTTCCTAGCCGAGCTGGAGAAGTCCACACAGAGCATCCTGAGCCAGCAAAGACCCCCGGCCACCCCCTTCACCGATGCCACCAAGCCCAGCTCGCCCTACAGACCCCCCCAGCCCCGCGCCCAGGACCCCATGTACATCTATGACGAGTTCGTGCAGCAGCACCGTAGGCTGGTCAGCAAACTGGACCTGGAGGAGCGCCGGCGGCGGGAGGCCCGGGAGAAAGGTGAGGTGCCGGGTTGGAATCATGCCGGGGATCCCCCCTACACCAGCACCAGGACCTGGTGGTGGTGATGGGGCAGCCGGTGGGTCTCCCGGGAATGCCGTCATCCCGCGATGCGAATGCTCCGGCAAGCCGGGCAGCGCGGTAAATCCTCTGCTCTAGACATGCCCAATTAATAAATGATGAACTGAGGCTAATAAGCAGCCTTTAAATATTAATGGGAATGTGTGAGCGGGGATAAGAACAGCGGTGAGGAAGAGATGGATGGCTTGGGGAGGCTCAGCCGCAGCATCCCCCTGGCTGTGCCCCATTAACCTGCCTGTTGAGCACCCCAGCAGCCATCCCAGAGCGATGCTGAGTGGGGATACAGGGGTGGGTGATGCCCTCCAGGGTACCACAGCTGATGGAGGGGGGACAGGGTTCTGTTAGGTTACACCCCCTGCCCTGTGGGACCCACATTGGAACCCATTGTATGTACCCAGCATCCTGTACTGCCGCAGCACCAGTGGGCTCCCAATGTGTTCCCATGGTCCCAGCAGATTCCCCGGGGTCCCGGCAGGATGCCTTGGTCTCCCCAGTCTCACACCAGTCCCTCCCCATCCTCAGGTTACTACTATGATCTGGATGACTCCTGTGATGACAGTGACGAGGAGGAGGTGCGGGCCCATCTCCGCTGCGTGGCCGAGCAGCCCCCATTGAAGCTGGACACATCCTCTGAGGTACTGATGGCACGTGCTGTACCCTGTCCCCGCTGTCCCCCAGTGGGGCAGCCCCTCCTCGGGCATCAGTGACCAAGCCTATGGTGCCGCCACCATCCCCAGCTGGCTGCAGGGGGTTATGGATGAGGATGGGGACAGGCATGGGAGTGGGGATGGAAGTGGAGGTGGGGATGGGGACAGGGATGAAGATGGAGGTGAAGGTCAGGATGAGGATGGGGATAGAGACAGGAATGGAGATGGGGATAAGGGTGGGGATGGAGGTGGGGATGGGACAGGAATGGAGACGGGGATGAGGATGAAGATGAGGATGGCAATGGGGACAGGGATGAGGATGGAGACAGGAATGTAGGTGGGGACACGGATGGGGATGAAGATGAGGATGGAGATGAGGATGAGGGTGGAGTTGGGAATGCACATGTGGATGGGGACAGGGATGAGGAGGGGGAAGAGGGCAGAAATGGAGGTGGGGATGGGGACAGGAATGGGGATGGGAGTGAGGATGGAGATGAGGATGGCAATCAGGACAGAGATGAGAATGGGAAAGGGGACAGGAATGGGGATGGGCACAGGAATGGAGGTGGGGATAAGGGTAGGGATGAAGATGAGGATGGGAATGGAGACAGGAATGAGGATGTGGAAAGGGACAGGAATGGGGACGATGATCAGGATGGGGATGAGAATGGGGATGGGAGCGGGGATGAGGATGGGGATGGAGATGAGGATGGGCATGGAGATGAGGATGGGCACAGGGATGGAAGTGGGGATGAGGCTGGGTACCGCCCCAGTGGTGACCCTGCTCCGCTCTCCCCCTCGGCGCCCCAGAAGCTGGAGTTCCTGCAGCTCTTCGGGCTGACCACGCAGCAGCAGAAGGAGGAATTGCTGAGCCAGAAGCGGCGCAAACGCCGGCGGATGCTGCGGGAGAGGAGCCCCTCGCCTCCCATGGTGCAGAACAAGCGCCGCACGCCCTCCCCGCGCCTCCCACTCTCCACCCGGTACAGCCCCGACGAGATGAACAACAGCCCCAACTTCGAGGAGAAGAAGCGCTTCCTCACCATCTTCAACCTCACGCACATCAGTGCCGAGAAGAGGAAAGGTAACAGCCATGCCCCGTGCACGCTGGGGACCAACACTACCTGGGGGGGGGGGGGTCCCCATTTCCTGGTTTGGGGGGTGCTGCGGAGGGGTCCTACCTGGGTCTTTGAGCTTGCTCTGCTGAGCAGAGGCTACACTAAACCTCAGCTTCCCATGCCGCAGACAAAGAGAAGCTGGTGGAGATGCTCCAGGCCATGAAGCAGAAGACCACGCCGGCTGCTGTGGTGGTGAAGAGCTCCCCGCGGGACAGCCCCAGCGGCCCTGCCACTGGTGAGCATCCGTGGTGTTATTCCCTGGGTCTGGGCTGGATGGGAGCATCCCTGTGGGCACGGCTTTGCCTTGTTGAGGGACACGAAGCCCTGACTGCTCCTTCTCTACCCAAAGAGCCACCGGTGCCACCGCTCCTGCTGGATCCAGATAAACCCGTGGGCATTGCCGTGTCTGTGCCGGAGGGGCAGAAGACAGCAGAGCCGGGCAGGTTAGACCAGCTGAGACCACAGGAGCTACCAAGGGCTAAGGAGATGGGTGCTGTGCCGGCAGAGAAGCCGCGGCTGAGTGATGCACACCCTGGGAAGAAGGGACTGAGCATCCTCAGCTACGTCAGGGGTCCGCTCCCCAAGGACATCCCGGTGCCGCTGTCCCACAGCATGAATGGCAAGAGCAAGCCCTGGGAGCCATTCATTGCTGAGGAGTTTGCCCATCAGTTCCATGAATCCGTGCTGCAGTCCACTCAGAAGGCGTTGCAGAAGCACAAAGGTAAGGGCAGGGATGCGGAGAGCTGGTTGGGTACCACTAGGGTGACGTCCGTGTGGGGTGGGAGATCTGCTTTGTGTGTGTGTCCCCCCCGGGGTTCGGCACCACTGAGGGCACAAAATCCACTGGGAACCTCATTGCTGGAGCATCCCTGCAGCTCATTGATGAAGCTAAAGATAAGGCAATGGGATCCCAGCAGGACAGTGTGCTTCCAGTGCCTGAAGGGGGCCTGCAGGGAAGCTGGAGGGGGACTTTATACTAGGGACAGGCCAAGGGGAATGGCTTTAACCTACCAGAGGGGAGACTGAGATGAGCTCTTAGGCAGAAGCTCTTCCCTGTGAGGGTGCTGAGGCGCTGGCACAGGGTGCCCAGAGAAGCTGTGGCTGCCCCATCCCTGGCAGTGTTCAAGGCCAGGTTGGACACAGGGGCTTGGAGCAAGTTGCTCTAGTGGAAGGGGTCCCTGCCCGTGGCAAGGGTTGGAGCTGGGTGAGCTTTAAGGTCCCTTCCAACTCAGACAAGTCAATGGTTCTATAATACAGCTCCATTCCCCAAACTCATGCATTTCAGTGAGTGAGGAAAACAAAGTTATTCCAGTGTGCAGGGGGTGATGAAAACCCATGGGAGATGCTGCAACCGCCCCCAAAAGGGCCTGGGAGAAAGAAAATAAATACCTTGAGGGGAGCATCTTTCTCAGTGGAGGGCAGCTGTGGGATGGGGCACACACACAGGGAGCAGGTTGGGAATACCGTGAATGGGTTGGAGCTGACACTTGATACCCACAGGGGGGACAGCGGAGCAGAACCACAAGCTCGATGCCTCCATCCACTACAACATCCCTGAGCTGCAGGCCTCCAGCCGCCTGGCTGCCCCCTCACACAATGGCACAGCCGAGGGGCCGCTGCCCCACCGGGCATTGCCCCCGCTGCCCCATGACTCAGCATCCGAGGAAGAGGAGGAGGAGGAGGAGGATGAACAGGAAGAAGAGGAGGAAGAGTACCCCAGGCCCAAGTGGCAAGGGATCGAGGCAATTTTTGAAGCTTACCAGGAACACATAGAAGGTAGGGGATGGGAATAGGGGGTAAACCCCACTTTGTGCCTCAGTTTCCCCTTGGGTGAAATCACCCCATGCCCATAGCAGGCAGCTCCAGCTCCTGCTGGGATAGGCTGGGGAGCACCGGTGGCTCCCAGCAGTGCAGGAGCAGCATGAAAACATGAGGCACTGTTGAAAATCGATGTATATGTGAAAAATTCATGTATTCACACTGCCCAGTGTCCTCCCCAGCAGGACCTGGAGGCTCGCTGTGGGCAGTGTGAGCACCAGGGATGCTCTGGGATGCTGGAGGCATCCTCCACGGTACCCTGGTCCTGTGCTGTGCATGGAGCCAGAGGAATCAGCACTCACCCCTTGTCCTTTGGGCTTTGCAGAACAAAACCTGGAGCGCCAAGTGCTGCAGACCCAGTGCCGGCGGCTGGAGGCCCAGCACTACAGCCTGAGCCTGACGGCAGAGCAGCTTTCGCACAGCATGGCGGTGAGTGGAGCTCCCATAGCACAGCAGTACCCTCCAGTGCCAGCATTCTGTGTCCCCATGCAGGCACCCAGCATCCCCATACAGGCACCCTACATCCACATACAGGTACCCAGCATCCCCATACAGGCACCCAGCATCCTCATACAGGTACCCAGCATCCCCATACAGGCACCCAGCATCCTCATACAGGCACCCAGCATCCCCATACAGGCACCCTACATCCACATACAGGTACCCAGCATCCCCATACAGGCACCCAGCATCCTCATACAGGCACCCAGCATCCCCATACAGGCACCCAGCATCCTCATACAGGCACCCAGCATCCCCATACAAGCACCCAGCATCCCCATACAGGCACCCAGCATCCTCATACAGGCACCCAGCATCCCCATACAGGCACCCTACATCCACATACAGGCACCCAGCATCCCCATACAGGCACCCTACATCCTCATACAGGTACCCAGCATCCCCATGCAGGCACCCAGCATCCCCATACAGGCACCCAACATCCTCATACAGGCACCATGCATCCACATACAGGCACCCAGCATCCCCATGCAGGTACCCAGCATCCCCATACAGGCACCCAACATCCTCATACAGGCACCATGCATCCACATACAGGCACCCAGCATCCCCATGCAGGTACCCAGCATCCCCATACAGGTACCCAGCATCCGCATACAGGCACCCAGCATCCTCATACAGGCACCCAGCATCCCCGTACAGGCACCCAGCATCCCCAGGCAGGTACCCAGCATCCCCATACAGGTACCCAGCTTCTGCATACAGGCACCCCGCATCCCCATGGGGCAGCCAGGTGAGCCCAGCACCCCATGAATAATCCCATTCCCGTGCCTTCCTGCCCTGACTCCTTCTCCTTAATTCCTGCAGGAATTAAGGACCCAGAAGCAGAAGATGGTCTCGGAGCGCGAGCGCCTGCAAGCCGAGCTGGATCACCTGCGGAAGTGCCTTGCCTTGCCTGCAATGCAGTGGTCTAGGGGTTATTTCAAGGGGTATCCCAGGTGACGCTCCTTTGGGGATAAACCGAACATATAGTCTAGAAATAATAATCTATTTTATTACCTTGAATATTTAATATTTTTCACTGGGAGGTTTGAAGCTAAAAAAAAAAAAGAAAAAATAAAAATAAAAATAAAAAAAAAGAACAATAATAAAAAAAAGAACTAAAATGGAGAATGTGCCATGCATGATGCAAAGGAGCACGGGGAGCCCACCCGATGCAGAGCAGATCCCATCCCATCCCTTGCCCTCTGCAAGAACCGGGCTCTCCTCTTGGGGGCCAGGGCTCTGCAGCCCCCCCCCCCCCCCTTTATTTTTCCACCCACCCCACACTTTATAGCGCTCATTTTTTGTTGTTTCCTTTTTCTAAATGACAATTCCAAGACTCCACCGACAACACTAAAGCCGGAGGAGCCCTGTGGGGCCGGGTGCGGAATGGCCCCCTCCCATTCCCCAGAGCCCCCCCTTTCCTGGGGCTTCCCATTGGAAATGCACTTGGCTATAAAACAATAAAGTCAATAAACTGGTTGAAGGTACCTTTTTGTTCCTGTTTGGTGGGGAATGGGGCACCGAGGTGGGGTTAAACCTTGTCCGAGCCATCACCCCCCCACCCCGAGTTTAGAAGCCGAGGAAAAAGGTGCTTCAGCCTCATACTGTGTATATATATTAAAGAAAAGTTTTGTATGTTTTTATTACTTTAATTATTGTTATAAAAAGCTTGCCTTTTTGTTTTTTTTTTAAATGTTTTTGCCTTTTTTTTTTTTCCCTTTTTGCTTTTTTCCTTGCCCCTTTTTATTATCTTTCTATTTTGGCAAAAGGATTGAACCGCTTTTAGTGTTTGTACTGCTGCTGGTCAGGACAGAAAAGATGCTGAAGTGTTTTAAAAGCATTTAAAAAGCAGGCAAAACAAATCACCTTTTCCAGTGGGGGCAGGTTCTGTCCCTCTGGAATCTGAGCTGAGCCCTTCCAATGCCTTCTCCCACCTGATTTTGGGGATATTTTTACCTTTTTTTGTTAGCTTCTTTGTCTTTTTACCCATTTTCTTTGTTTCCTGGGTCTGTTTCTGGTCATAGCTCCATTGTGGGTATCACAGCTCCGGGTGCAGGCTCCATTTATCAAACCAATAACACAAATCAATTGCGCCAAGAGGATTGTTGGGGATAGGTGATACTGGGGTGTCTTTATCCCCCCCAGAACACCAAGACAATCAGTAGGCAGTTTGGCCATGGGGAGATGGGGTTTGCCCATAGGGGCTTATGGCTTGCCATGGTGTTGGTGGCACCACCAACCTCCTCAGGCTGGGGCAGCAGGTTCAGCCTTGTCACCATTTGCAGCCACTTGCTCATCATCGCATGCCCCAGCTCCCCAGGGAGGCTTTTTTTGTAAGATATAATAATAGTTATTTATTATTTTTCTCTTAATTCACCACGAGACAAGCTCACGTCTACGGGAAAAGGTGACCTCTGCTTTCTGCTTTAAATTCCCTTGTTGCACTCGCAAAGAAAGCATTAAAACACCCCCCGCTTTTATTCCCCTCTCCCTGCTCCCTGGTCTGCCATTGGCTTCACCAAATAAAAGAAAGCTGTGCGAGATTAAAAAGCAAAAAGCCCTTGTGACAGAAATTAGTTTAATCTTTCTTAAACCCCCGATTGCGTCGCCAGCCTCTGGCCTCGCTGCTGCCAACTCCGGGCTTCACAATGAATTTTAACACAGCAAAATAACGCTGCTGCTCGACTCGCTTCTTCCCTTTCCCCTGCGCTGTGATGGGGAGGAAGCCAGGGATGGGAAATCATCAGCGATTTATCCCTCTCCTCCACTGCGCTGCGGTGGAGGAGCCTGGCTGGGCTGTAGTATCACTTCACAGCAGCTCCTGTATTCGTAGCAGCTCCCATACTGAGGCTTTTCCCCCCCATTTACCAGCCCAAAAATCACGTTTTTTGGAGCAGTTCCTCAGTATTACTCCCCCAGGGCCATGGTGAGCGGTCGTGTTTGTACCTACCCTATGCAGAATTGATCTCAAGCAGATGTGCCAGAGCCCAGGAGGGCTGCGAGGAGGGAAAGGCAAGGCAGAGCCCGCTGGGGGCAGTTTAGATGCTGTGAAAGAAAACAAAAACCCAAAAAAGGAGGAAAAAAAAAAAAAAGAAACAACCCCTAAACATGTTTCTAAGTGTACTTGTTTGACTTAATTGTAATGTAATATATTATTTGTTGAATGTAGTAATTAGGTATTTATGAATATATTGCTGTAATTTCTGAAAACATCCAAAAGAAACAAAGAAAATAAACTCTTCCACAACAACAGCAAAAGGATTCTTTCTCCCTCGCTCACATACACACTACGGGGAAGCTCCGAGCATCCTCACCTTGTCATCATAGCCCTTTGCTGGCAGCCCTGGCTGCAGGCAGGGCACAGATGGCAGGCAGGAGCTGCCCAGATGCTCGGGGAAGGGCAGCGCTCGCCACCCTTTGGGTTTGAGCCGGCATTTCCCCTTCGTCCGGAATAATTACATCTGCCATCAACACAGCCCGACGCCAGGGAGGATCCTGCCCTTGCCTGTCGGTCTGCCGCAGGGGGAATGGGGCTGGAGCCAAAGGAGCAGAGACGTGGGTTTTTCCATGGTTTAACCCGTGGATGCTCTGTGTGCAGAATGATGCCATTCACGCGGGTGAAATCACTGGTTTTATTCCTTTTTTTTTCACACACACACACACAGTGTTTCAGGTTAAAACAACAAGTCAGATGTGACGTTACAAGACAGCCTGGTACAGAGAGGGGAAAACCCTTTTCTTTTGTCCTCCTCCAAAGAGCAGCTGGATCTGCTTCCCAGCTGATCTCCCCAGCAGACACCTCTCATTGCCCGCACATCAGTTTCCCTTTCCAAGGCTCTGAGAAAGATCCATGGCAAAGCAACGCCTGGAAATTTACTGCTTTCAAGCCAGTGTGTGGCCTGTGCTGCCCTCAGAAGTTCCCTCTATGAAGTACATCTACTCTTGAGGGCGCAGAGATCCGCCCGGCCCCATTAGGCAAGCAGCAGGGTAGCGCTGGCAAGCCACCACCTGCATTAAAGCAGATCTCTTCACCCCAAGAGGCCCACCTCTGAAGTGAGGAGCTCCCGTGCAGGGATGCTCCCGTTCCATCAGCAGCTCTGGAGCCATTCCCAGCTGGCTGGAAGGCTGCCTGCAAAGAGAGGGCTTAGGCTGCTGAGGAGGTGCTTGTATGGAGATGGGTGGCTTTGGATGTGCACAGGGAGATGGAGGCTTGGCCAGATGAAGGACCAGGGGCAAGATGTGGAGCCTGCTCCCTTCCTCTGCCCTCTCCTGTAGGGTTTTGGGGCTGGCTTGGCTGGTACCTCAGAAATCCTGGGAACGGGCAGCCTCGCCAGGCTGAAGGTTAGTCCGGAGCTTGTACATGTGATCTAAGGCTTGTGTGAGGAAAGTACTGGTTGTGTTGATCTCCATCAAGGTTAAGTTGTCCAGCTAGAAGAGAAGAATAGTGGTATCTGTGACAACAAGGGAGGATGAGGAACGAGAAAGCAGCTCCACAGCCCATGCTTTGCCTTTGGTTACTTGGGTTATTCCCAGCTGCCACCCCCCAACCCATCAAACACGAGCACACGAGGTACAAGAGCGCCGTTTCCATACGGCACCGGGAGCTGCAACCAGCCCATAAAGCGAGGTTTCAGCATATGGCTTGAGCTCCCAACTGCCGTACCCACAGCCCAGGGAAAAGGAAAAACATGCCCCAACCAGCGTTTCCAGGAGCAGCTCTCATCAGTCACAAGCCCACACAATCGCACGGCATCTGGAACGCTCCCAAGCACCGCGCTTGGCAAAGCCTTCGCCGCGCGTCCCCGCCGCACCTTGGCATGAACCTCCTGCTGCCTGACGAAGCTGTCTGCAGACAGCCGCAGCTTGGCTATCCGGGTGTCCCAGGTATCCTTCACCAGCGTGCGGATCTCGTCGGCCTTGGGGATGTTGTCTGAGGCACTAAAGGAAGGGGGGGAAAGCATCAGAACAGGCGAGGGACTCGTATGTTATGTCACCAGTGTAAGAAACGTTGGCAGCTCTTCAGCCCTCTAAGGCATAAGCAGAACAGTTTGCTATGGGGTGTGTGGGGGGGGAAACACACCACCCTGCAAGTCAACACTCAAATCCAGCCTGGTGCTTCTGCTGCTGGGATTTCTGGGATGGTTTATTTACCCGGGAATGCTCAGCTCTAACGCAGCATCTGGTTCTCGCTAAAATCCTTCTGCTCTTTAATTGCCCAGCTGGTACGAGGTGCAAGGAGGACCAATAACCTGGCCAAAGTCACCAGCAGCCAGGGAATTGGAAGGGCTCAGCTGTGATTAGAGCCCCAGCTCTGTGCTCTTGTGGCTCTATCAGAAAGTATTAAGTTGAAAGGGCTCTACGAGTTGTGCCACATCCTCCCACCGAGGCAATTCAGCGCCGCCATAAGGACCTTGAGAGATCAGCTCAATTCGCACGGGCAGAGCTGTCAGGGTTATTGTAGCGTGAGTGAAGGAGCTGCGTGCCAAGAGTGTCATCTCCAGAGGAAAAGCCAGTGCTTAAATGACCACCCTGCCATAATCGAGGGCTTAAAGTCAGAAGAGCCCGCGCTGAGCGAATACGAGCCAGCACATTTCACAAGTGAAATGCCTCAGCAGGCAGGAGTGCAGGCTCTGAACAGCCCTCAGTCTCCTGCTTCTGAGGCTGAGGAAAAGAGGAGCTTTCCTCCTGCAGGAGAGCCAAGCAAAAAGCCTGTGGGCTTTAGGCTGCCGAACAGATTGCAGCCATGGAACGTGTTGCTGATCCTCAAGGCCTCTACGCTCAGCTGCCGCTCAATAGCGCGGCACAGCCCCAATTATCAGGCCAGGGAACAAGCAAATCCATGAGGCGCAAAGTTACCACGGGAGAGAACTGCTGCAGCGAGATCTTGGCACATCATGGAATGAAACCCCATTAACTCTCACTTCCCCATCGCCCTCCGGGGCTGCTGCCAACCAAAGCCTGTGCTGAGCGTGTGCTCGGGTGGAAACCGTGACAAGACGTTTCCCACTCACTAGTTCAACAGCAGCTTTGTGAGCTCCATGTAGTAGGGGCTGGGCATCCGAGTGAAGGTGTCCTCTTTGCGCTCCTGGTCCCGGATTTCCTCCAGTTTCCCTACCAATGCAAGCAGGAACGGTCAGGCACTGACACAGCTTCGACGCTCATTTTTACCCCCATCAAGAAAACCCCATGTGCTGTTTCTGCAGGACTCCGAGGACAGGAAAAGGCTTCTGGAATGAAGCACACAGGGATGCTGACATGGATGTTGAAGCTGCACGTAGCGCACACCATGCCGGAAGGCTGGATCTACCTCAGCCCCATCCCCAAGCCTCTCAGGAGGTGTTCCCCACAGCCACAAGGCACTGTCAGTAATGAGTGTTTCTGCCCCTGAATGAATACAGCAGGAGCACTTAATGCAAGTCTCCCTCTTCCTGCAGCTCCGTTGAGTGTTTACTTCTCCTGCTTCTCAGTTTCCCTTGGGACTACAAAAGGGAAGGTGTCATCATTCTCACTTTTAAGAGTGAGAACCTCCCATTTCCGATGAAGATCATTTCATGGAGTGAATGAGCTGGTGATTAACACACAAGCGTGCTCTCTTAGGTCTCCCTCCTCACACAGGGTCATCTGAGGTTCCCGAAGCTCTGTGAGATCTGTAAGTGCTGCTCAGAACACCCATTCACCACTGGGGAATGCAAGTGTCAGGGCTGGGGATTCAATCTGTTCTTCCTCCTCACCAGAGGAACAGAAGGTAAATACATGAGGGAAGATTAAATCTCCTGTCAATATAAAGAATTCCAGCAGTGGGAAATCATCCTCCCTCAGACTTACTTTGTGTTTGTGGAATTAAGCTTCCCACTGAAACAGGGGAAGTTCAGGTTGGATATAAGGAAGTAGTTCTTCCCTGTGAGGGTGCTGAGGTGCTGGCACAGGGTGCCCAGAGAAGCTGGGGCTGCCCCATCCCTGGCAGTGATGGACGGGGCTTGGGGTAACCTGCTCTAGTGTGAGGCATCCTTGCCCATGGCAGGGGTTGGAACTGGGTGATCTTAAGGCCCTTTCCAACCCAAACCATCCCTTGATTCTATAATGGTGCAAAACAGAGATTTTCGTTGAACTTCTTCTTTCCACTGCACCCACTGGAGCCCAGCCCCGACGCCCCATCCTTACCAACATCCATCCATTCCGGAGCAATCACCCGGCACTTCTGCCTCTGCTTCAGGTTGATGGCGAGCCAGAGAGGCACTTCCACTGGCAAGCCGGGATTGAAAGGGCCCAGATCTCCCTGGAAGATGAACCAAAGACAACGGTTAAGGGCTCGCACACGGCAGAACTCACCTGATAACGTGGCCTTGGCCACGACTACCCTCGACACACAGCCCCTGGGCTCAGGCTGAGCACCCAGTGCCACAGCTCAGCACCCAAGGATGCCAGGGACCCTCCAGCCCTCAGCCAAGGCTCAGGGGATGCTGCCCCCCACCAGAGACATGGGCACAGCGCATCATCCCTCTCCTCCTCCCCTCTGCCCTTCATCCCAACCCTCAATCCCTCCATCCCATCACAGCAGACCCCCAACCCCTCTCCCTGCTCCCAAGCACCCCAAACCCCGTCCCCAACCTCCTGCCCCTCAGTCCCAACCCCCCAAACCCTACCTCACACCTAATCCCTGTCCCTCATCGCCCCAAACCCTGCCTCAAGCCCCTCAGCCCCCAATCCCCCCCTCCCCAACCAGCCCCACGGCCCTGCCCGAGGCCCCACAGACCCCAATGAGATGGATCCGGTCAAGGCTGAAGTTGGGCACGATCGTCACCAGCTCCTTCTCGGCCAGGAACTCCACCTCGGCCGGCTCCATGGAGGCGGCAGCGGGGACGGGGATGGGGATCGGGATGGGGATCGGGATGGGGATCGGGATGGGGATCGGGATCGGGATCGGGATCGGGATCGGGACCGAACCGGCGCTGGAACCAGGACCTGACTGTCTTACGCGCCCGCCCTCCCTATTGGCTACGCGCCGGTGAAACCCCGCCCACGAAATGCCGTTTCCCGCCTCCCGCCCCTTTGGCGGTTTCTGCAGGGGCGGAGCCTGGCGGAGCTCGGAGCACGCTGATTGGTCTCTCCCAGGCGTCAGTTGGCCGGCGATTGGCTAACACAGAGACCGTGTACGCCCACGCTCCGAGCTCCGGCCCCGCGGGGGGTGGCAGTTGGACCAATCCCGGTGCGCCCCGGGTGGCGCTCGGCCAATCAGCGCTCAGCACTTGTTGCCAGAGCGCTGTGGGGCCTGCAGAGGCCCTGCCCTCATCCTCTGAGCGTGTGCGCGCCTCCCGCCACTGCCGCCCCCTGGCGGCCGGGAGGAGCAGCGCCCCGGGGGGACACATGTGGGGCCGGTTACCGTGGGGTACGGGGAGGGAGGGAGGGGGGGGGTGTCCTCCAGCGCACCCACCGGCCTCCATCAGACCCGGTGTCCCTGTGCAGACACCCTCCGGTCATCAGCCCACCCACCCCTCCATGCCCACCTCCATGCACCCGCCCATCTATGCCTTCATCCGTCCATCCATGCCTCCATTCCTTCCTCTCCCACTCACCCATCCATCCATCCATCCATCCTCTGTTCACTCACCCACACCTTAGAACAGCAATCAGCCCTCTTCTTGCTCTCTGTCCATGCACCACATTGTCCATCCCCCCCGTTCCTGTATCTAACCATTCCTCCATCCCTCCCTCCCTCCCTCCCTCCATTCAACCATCCATCCACACCCCTCTATCCCCCCCATTCATCCCTCCATCCCCCCCCCATCCCTTCACCCATTCCTCCCCCCATCCTTCCCTCCATCTGCCCTGCAGGTCGCCATGGAAACCGAACCCCCCCCCCCCTCCCCAAATGCTGCCAGCTCCCCCCCGTCCCCCTCCCCAGCTGCCTTAGACTCAGCCTTAGGACACCCATGGGCCCAACCCCAGCCCTTGGGGTGAGGATCACCACGGGGGTACCCGCAGGCTGGGCTATGGGGCTAAATCTCGGTGCTGCCCCACACCGGGGGCTGCAGGAAGGGGTTTGGGGGGGGGGGGGGGGGTGGTGTCCCTCCGCCCCCCGTTAACGTAGCAGCCCCCGCGGCGCCGCAGCTCCACCGGGCGCGCTGTAACCGGCTCCACTCGCGTGTCTTTTGCCATCTGCTGCTGTCATTAAAGAACGAGATTTCCATCTGCTTTCACACTCCCTCCTCTCCCGGTGCCGCCGCTCCCCGGGAACCAGCGCCCCCGGCTCCCTCCCGGGATGCGGGACCACCGGGGAGGGATGCGGGCGATGTCCGAGCTCATTTGCAATCGGTTCCTTCGATCCACTTGGACAACGGAGTGGGGGCAGTATCCCTTTGTGCTGCCCGGCAGCATGGGGTGATGCTGACAAGGGGTGGTTTTGCGGGTGCGGAGCCTCGGGGGCTTTATTCACCAGGGTGGCCCCGCACGGTGCCATCCCCTTCCCTGTGCTTTTAGAAGAGACAAACCCCAGTCACCGGTGTCCAAACTCACCCATGCGATGGGAGCCCCGTGTGTCCCTAAGGAGCTGGCCCTGGACAACGCGCATCCCTGTGGAGCGGGGATTGTATCCCCAGGATGCTCACGGTCAGCACTGACTGCACGATGGTGCCCCCCCGCCCCGCCGTGCCTCTCGGGCCAGCATGGTCCCCGTCGGTGTTGGTGGCGTGACGATGATGGAGGGCACATGCAAGTGCTTCTCTCCTGGAGATGCTGCTCCTGCCTGGTCGCTGTCATTCCCGCTGCTCACACACATCTTCAAGCCTGAAGGGGCAACCAAGGGGGAAAATCATGTGTAGGGGATGCGGTTCCCTCACCTCCCTCCCTATCTCCATGGCTCAACCCCCTTACGAGCCACTAGAGAACCCACCAAACCTCCTGGCTTTGGGGTGCCCCATAGAGGTGAATACAGCAGCCAGCCCCCACCCCGATCTCCTGCCCCTGGGTAAAGGATCACTTTAATCTGCCTTTTTAATCATGAGAGAAGCCCCGTGCGGTGCAGGCAGCGGCCGGGGAGGTTTCAGCTCTTCCCAAGCAGGAAAATGCCCGGAGGGGACAGACACTGATATTTTAAATCTCTTTTTAATTAAGGATAAAGGCCTGCCTTACATAAGGCAGCTGGAGAACGGGGGTGTCTTGTCTCTTACTGCAGACTCCAAGCTCACCAGAGGGACCTGGAGGCACAGGGGGATGTTTTGAGGCTCTGCCCTGGATTTGGGGATTTGGACAGGGACTCCCTGGATGCCTCATTTTTCCCTCTTCAGTCACCTCATATTGGGCTGAGGGAGGGTCTGTGGGACCCCCAAATCCCTTAACCTCAACTGGCAGCATCCTCAACGCAGGGAGAGTGTGTATGGGTGCAGAGCTCATTTTTGGGCAGTGCATCCTACCACAGCCAGCATCACACATGGGGTTTGAGCTTGGGAAGAAGCAGCTCTGTTCCTTAGAGAGGGATGCTCATTAGCTCCCCTCCCTAACTACCCAAAGGATGATTAATACGAGAGGCTCAGGGGTCAGCACTGGGATGCAGCGCTAATGGGAGATACAATATCCAGCCTTTACCCTGCTCACCCAGCGCAGCGAGGCCGGGATCATTAAAAGCTCCCACTTCCCTCTCTCTGCAGACATCACTTCTGCCATCCCCAGCCTAACTCCATTAAGAGAATTAAAGTTAGGGGAAAAGCAGATGGGTAGAAAGCTCCTGGGGTGGAATATCCCTGGGGAGAGAGGAGCAATGAAGGATGCTCCAGGCTCGAGCATTGCATCCATACCCAAAGCATCCCATCCATGCTGCCTTTTTCCCACCTCTAGGGAAACCCATTGTGGGATGCCATCAGCCCAAGGATGCTCCAGGGTAGAAGATGCAGGATGGAGCACAGGACCAGGCCTTTATATTGTTACAGGGCTGGGATAGTGGACTGGGACATCGGGGTGATGCCTGAGCATCATGTCACTCATGGGACTCCTTAAATGCCAGCAGCACACTAAAACACACCAGTCCTGCCCACTTAAAGCTCCTCCTTGCATAACCATCCCCAGATGCCTTCATGGAGCAGGAGTGACCCCAGCATCTTCCCAAACCTACCTTTGAGGCAGGATAACTTGAGCCCCATGTTTTCATCCTCTCAGCAGGACCCAGCTCTCCAGCCCCACCGCTGGTCCTCGCTGCTGGAGCTGCAAGAGAGATACAGGAAGTGATGCTGGGAGGTAGGAGTGAACTGGGTTGCTCACTGAAAGCATGCACCTCTGTGTGTGTGTGCATATGTATATGTATACATCTATAGGTGCCTGGGTAGAACAGGAAGCATGGGTGCATGGCAGCAAAACCACCCGTGATGTCACAGCAACTCAGTGAGTCAATCTCAGCCACTGAGTTTTGGGAGGAACTTTTTGGGAGGGCAGAGAAGGAGCCTGTTTCCAGGGCGGGGGGGATCCCATCCGGTCCTATCCTGGCTTCTCTGCTCCTGGGATCAATGCTGCAAACATCTGCAGGTGAGAAGGTGGTGAATGAAGGAATCAGGTTGTTATTTGTGAAGGTAACTGGTGCAGAGGATGCTGGTCTGTGGCATTGCATCCCCTGGGGAGCAGCCAGAGCAATGGGCACCAATTGGGGATGCACTGACAATGAGAGCTTCATCCTGCTCTATTTGGACATCACTGATGCTCCAAGAGCTTTCAAGTGGGTAATTCCCATTGTGGGACATCATGAAAGTGATGTTGAAACCCATTCTGAGCAAAAACACCTTTAATGGGAAATCTTCATCCTCCTGCACGCAGCTGCTGGGAAAAGCTCCTTGGGATGAGGGTCAGCCACTCATTTCGGTTCTTCCAAGCCCTGTGGCCCGCATAGAGCCAAGCAAACCCTCTGTTCCCCCTGCCCAACCTACACCACAGCTTCACTTCACCTTTCCAAGCAGCCTGAGGTCGCCCAGCCACAGCCAGCGAGAGGAAGTGGGAGCTTGCCATTGCTGGGCTTAATTCTGCTTCCTTTATCAGCTCCCCACAACCACACTGAGCCTTGGCACCCCTTTGGCCAAGGAGCTGCCTCAGGGCCGGGAGTAGACCCCCACCGTGGGCCTCCCACTTTGCAACTATAGCCCAAGTATCAATAAACCTGTTTTGAGGTGAATTCTCCAGTTTTCGGCACTACCAAAACCAGCCATCCCCATCCGCTCAGGGTTGGAGGAGGGTTGTGCTGGGGAGACCCAGCCCCATGGCACAAGGGGTCTCCTCTTGGACCAGACCCCATAGCTAAGCCCTTGCATGACAAAGCAGCCCCTTCCCCATGCCACTGGCTCTTAGCCCTGCATCCGCACCACGGCACTGGGAGAGATGCTTAGATAGAGAAGCCCACCCCGCCAGCATTCCAGCAGGATTGCTGGTGGCTGATGGCTTCAGCATCGCTCCCGTGTCGGCATCAGGCCAAGGAGTATTTGCTTTCCCGATGAGTTCACGCTCCAAAAACCCCCAGACACTCATCACAAGCATCACTGAGCGGTGGCCGCGCTGCTCAGGCATGGATGCGAGATGCTCACCCAACATGTGGGATTGGGGATGCCCCGGGAAGAGGAGTGGGACCAAAACCAGCCATGGTGCTCCGAGGGGATGACACTTACCCGGTCCTGGGAGCTGGAAGCACGATGCCCACCGTTGCATCCCACCTCCCACAGCATCCGGCTGCTCTGGGATGCAGGAGTGTGAGGCTGGGTGGGGGATTCCCACTCAGGACCAGTGAGGCAGGAGCAGGTTGCAGTGAGACAGCTTGGGGTAAGGTTGGTTTCTAACCTGGTTAATCAGGTTAGCAGAGCCCTGGCTCCTCCCATCCATCCCCTGCTCCAGCCCCATCCAAGCCCAGCAAAGCCCTTGGGTGATGAGGAAACGCTGCTTTACTCTCACCCCACTGCACAATCCAGCCTGGTGCCAAGAAAAAGAGGAGCAGGAGTGCCTCTTGCCTGCAACTGAACTGCCTGGACCACTGAGCATCCCTACAAAGAGTCAGAGGGGCAAGTGCTTAGAAAGGCAAGTGCCAGTTTGGTGCGAGGGTGCCCAGCTCTGGCATCCCTGAGATCCTAATGTCAAGAGAGGAGCGATGCTGCAGCCTCCAGGAGCATCCCCACCTCCTCCAGCTTCCAGAAAGTGCCTGTCCCCCTTCCTGTCCAACCTTCCATCCCCAAAACCAGCCCAGCAGTGGAACCAGCATCAGGGCTTCTCAAGGGGTTGGGTACCACCCCGCTGCGAGGATGCCCGGGCAAAGGCTCTGCCTCCGGAGCAGCCGCCTTTGCCTGCATTAAAAGGAGCCAGAGGCTTTTTCATGTTCACCTCCTCCGCAATTAAGAGGCGAGGCCCGGCCCTGAGACAGAGCTGAAAAGCAGCGGTTCACATCCAGGGCGCCGGCGTGCGGGGAATGCCAGCGCGCATTAAACACCCAGAGCCTGAGGGCACAGGAACCGAGGGGAAAGCTTTGAACTTCACCCGGAGATCGCAGCAAACTGATCCCAGGAGCTTGGGAGGTCTCCGGCGAGATCAGAGCATCATGGATGAGAACAAGCCCTGCTGGGATGGGCATAGAGGGGAGCAGGGAGGGGAAGCGGGTGGTTTTGCTCTAGTTTCTGCTGGTCTGGTCCTGTTATGTTCAGTGGAAAACACACAGAGGGAAAGGGCTGATTTCCTTCCTCGTCTGGCTCCTCTGATTCACCAAGTGACTGAGTATTGCAAAGCTTCAGCGTGGAGAGCTGGGCAAACAGCGCAGGGGAAAGGGTGCAGCCCCAGGTCCTAGATGCAGAAATGCTTGCAACCTGAGGCTCCAGTTCCGCCCCAGAAAACAAACAAATTGGTTTAAGTGTTGCTTTGTTTTGCCTGTTCTGCTGCAAACAGCTAAAGGACAAAGTCCAAGACAGAGCCTGGCAAGCCTGATCTTCCCAAATCCCATCCCAACAGCATGCAGCATCCCATGGGGCCAGGGACCCCTCACCACCAGCACAAACCCAGTCTGAGCAGCAGAAATCTCCCCTCCATATGAGCTATTTCGATGCCTCTCTCCAAACCGACCTGTTTACTGCTTTTGGGTGAGAACAAAAGGCTCCAAAACACAGGAGGGCTGGAATTAGCCTGACCTGGAGGAGCAGTTGTTGCTGAAACCATTAGCAACCAAAAGAGATGTCTTGCTGCAGCAGGGGAGGTAAACACAAACATCAGCCCGCTAAAATAACTGTGGTTAGCTCTGCGGGCTGCAACACGGTGTGGTGACAGGGATAGGCACAAGCACAGCATCACACACCCCTTCCTGTCCTCTCCATGGGCTGGGAAGCAAAGACACCCTTGGGCATGTACATAACATGAGGTTTGGACACCTCAAGGTGACAAGCTGTGGCCCAGGACCCCCCCACTATGGAGCCCTGTTTGCTAGCAGTCGACCAACACCAGGCAGATCTGAGCCACAAGTACAGGCACATCACAATGTGTCAGACATCCCCTTTCTATGGTAGACAGCCCTGCCTCTGATTCACATCCTTACCAGGGGATTGCTGAGCATCACATTGGGGTCACTGGCCAAACACCACCAAGAGCCAGCTGGCCACAAGGAGGAAGAGGATGGGTTCATAAAGCTTCCTTGGAGGGTCAGTAGGGAGCCACCTTCACTCTGGGCAAGGCTTGTCCCTCCAGCCCCGCACTGTCCTTTGGTGACTGGCTCCCAGTTCTCCCAGGGTCAGTGCTTCCCAGCCCTCAAGTCCCTTCCTGCCCTGGTGTATGAGGCTGAAGCAGTGGTGATGGGGTGAGGATGGAGGGCAGCTCGCGACTTCACTGAAAGGGGAAGAGTGAGCTCACGGCTTCCCAGACACCAGCAGAACCACAGGGAAAGGGATGTGTTTTGCAAACACTGGCCTCAAGACAAGCTTTGGCTGGAGAGCACCGGAGCTGCTCTGTTGGCTGCCTCCAAAGGAGCTGCTCCTGCACACACCAGCTGGGCTTGTGTTAGAAAGGAGGGAGGGGAAGAGGCTTTCTGGGTCACAGAGTCCCAGGGTCTGCTCACGCAGGTGACACGTCAGCCTGGCTGCGTGCTCACAGCACAATGAGGCCACTGCTCCCCACTTCTGCACTGGGTGTTTTCCAGTCCCATCCTGGCTTAGAAATCACCCTGAAAAGGGGGCTGCAGGGCCACTGATAGGCCTTGTGGAAACCAGAGGTGACAACAAGGCAGTGGGTGCTGGGAGAGGCAAAGGAACTCCCTCCCAACCCTGCACGGAGCTCCACTGCCATCCAGGACAGGCAAGTGGTACCCGGAGGGGCTGCCAGGCGTGGGAAGGGAGGAGGATGTCACGAGGAAGCAGCTGAAGATGCAGGCTGTGGGGAAACTGGAGCAGCTCCAGCATTTCCCAAGCACAGGCTCTTGGCAGGACCGGGAGAGCGAAAACCAGCAGGAACTGTGCTGGAAAACACCCCCAAAGAGAATCCATCGGGCTGTGTCAGCAGCCCCACGAGCGAGGCAAGAGCTGCTGTGACAGGGAGTAGGAAGCGAAGCAGGAAGGGAGCACATACCTGAAGCACAAAACCGGAGTGTGCCGGGCTCTCCTGCCAGACCTGCATCCAGAGAAAACCACCTCCCTGCCCGGCATGGATCTGGGAGGCTGTGGCTGGGAATTGGCTTAGGGACCTGGCCGTGGCTTCTGTGCTTCTCAGCTCGCTGAGCTCCAGGTTAATCTCAGCCCAGCTTTCCCCTTTTATCCCCTGGTACAACCCCAGTACAGTTTTTCAATTAGGTGCATCTTTTAAGCTCCAGAGCGCATTTCTAGGAAGGGATGCGCTGTTTCTCTTGGCCCTCGTGGGCTGATGCTGCGCAGAGCAGGACATGCCTGGCACCGATCCTGCCCGCATCCAGCTAAAGTGCCGCCACGCTGCAGCCGGTGCGGCGCTGCCTGGAAGCACTCACGGAGCTACCCGTTACCCCCAGCCCACCTACCGGGTGTTCTTAAGAGCAGCATTCCCTGTCTCCCTCAGCATGGCTCCAGCAGGCTGCCTGGATCACGGACCGCTTTCACCGGTCCCTTTATGGGAACAGCAAACTGACTCCGTCCTCTCCGGATCCGTGTCTGCTGCCCAGCTGAAACCCAAAGGGATATATGCAGCCAGGGTGCACTTTGGGATGAGGAGGCTGGGTGAAAATGTGGTCTAAAAGCGACAGGAAGGAGGAGAATAGATCGATCAAGACTTCAGCAGATACTTGGGCTCAGTGAGGTCGCTTCCTGATGCGGGAGAACTGGTTGCAGGGCGACTGGTGAAGCAAAAGAGGAGTTTGCGGCGCAGGAGTGTGATGTGTGGAGATGTTTAACTCAAGATGGGAATAACAGAGACTGGGATGGATGGGAAGGAAGCAGCCTGGTCAGCTCAACACACCCCAGCTCCTACCGGACACAGTGGGCAACCGAGCTGCGTTCCAGGAGCTGAATTAAAACACAATGGAGAAGCAGAGCTCACAAATGCACGCTGAGCACATTTCCCCTTGAGGCCAGTTTCCAAGCTGCAGTCAACCGCAAGTCCACCCCATTAACAGCCTCCTCCATTAGCATTCACGTGCTCTTTCCTATCAGCAATGCCCTCCACCGAGGAGCATCTTGAGACGTTTTACAAATAGCAGCAGCACTGGAGTGCAGCGATTAGGCCTCGAGCCAGGGAGCAGAGAGACCCGGGATTACTTCCTGCATCTGTCACTGTCACCACTCCTCCACTTCAGTGAGGAATTCTTGGGGGCAGGGGGCTGTCTCACAGGGCACATCACAGTGCTGGAGATGGGCTCTGCACATCTGTCTGCCCCCTGCTCCAGCTGTGCTGGGTGAAGAGGTGGTGGCTCCTTCATCCTGCTCGTCTGCTTCCCACACCCACACAGAACCACAGAATGGTTTGGGTTGGAAAGGACCTTAATATCATCCAGTTCCATCCTCCCATGAGCTCTAATGAGCTGGAGGAGGTTAAGTGGTAGGTCTTTGCTTGTTTCACACTGACAAAGACTAGGGAACATCCTGTGAACAGCTCAGCTGGCAGATGGGAGGGACAACGGAGGAAAACCCCAGCAGCACACTGCTTCACTTCCTGAATGCAGGAAAACCCCCTAAAATCTTCATTCATACACACATCAACGAGCTCAGAGAGAAAATTATACCAGTGCATTCCCTGGGAACAGGTACCTTGCTTGTGAGCACCCCTAAGAACAGCGGAATAGACACCCCTTGGCTCTTGCCACCCATCTGCTCTTCCCATTCAGGATGCTCCATAAGCTAGGAGCAGAAACCACTTCCCCTGTGCATCTAGCCCTAATTCTCCAAACAATTTTAGGGTCGTCCCACTTCTCGGTGAAAACAACCCCTACAGCCTACAGCCCCTCCCAAACTGTTCCCTTCCGTGTTTCTCAAGCTGGATGGGTATATGGAGTTTCTGGCACTGTTGGAAGTGCCACAGGTTACCTGGGGCTTGCTGGGTCTCAGGTCATTCTGGTCCTCGATTTCAAACAGAATGGATGTTTGAGCAATGTAAACTCAAGGCTCTTTGTCCTCCCCCTTGTGACTAAAGGATTCGAGGCAAGCACTCATGTGAGCCCAGCAAAGAGTAGTGCGTCCTCCCACTCGAACCCAAGCACTTTGAACTGGTATTTTCAGATACTTGTGGGGTCTCTTTATCACTGTTTTGAAATATTAGGGTTGAGAGTGGAAAGAAAAGAATCCCACATTTTGCATTTCCAAGTGCTTGAAGTCCTGCGGATGAGGTAAAATGCTGGGATTTAAATGTCTGGGTAGGCAAATGCCAAATTTCCAAATCTTGGTGAATAAGGGGGAAAAAACAATTAATGCTTCATGTCATTAATTGCTAACAAACAAACAAAAAAGCGTAGGACACCCATTCCCTGTGCTGTCTTCCCAGGTATCACAAGGGCTCCAGCAATGGAGACACAGATGCCGGCCCTAAGATTTCTTCCCCCCCCCCGAAGGTTTAAAGGGAGTTACCTTGAGCTCTGATGAATCCAATTGATCGGGCAGCCAGGAAACCAGCATTTGCTCCTGCAGGTAGGTTTGGTACATCAGCAGGAAAGGGGAACACAGCCTGCAGCTTCCTCATTCTTTCACAAGAGCCATGGTGGCTGCGGGCTGCCTGGCTTTATGAAACTGCTGCCTTTTGTCCTGCCTTCAATGCAAATAGGACAGGTGAGATAAGATCTGAGCATTGCAGAGCTTGTCCTTTTTACTTAAAGCCAGCCTGGGCTTCTACTGGTGGCAAAACACTCAAAGGACCTCATTGAAAAGCAAGCAGAAGATAAAGAAAGGGAAAAGACAAAGCACTAAAAACTGCTCCTCTTCCAGAAACATGTCTCATTGTTAGTCACAGGGAGTGTTTCCATCAGGTTACAGAGTGATGATATACATTTCGGGGGAGAAAGGCAAGATTTAAACTGTATTAGCATATATATGATCAAAGACAGAATATGACATGGAGTTACAAAGAAATACAATTCCTGTGGCTCAGGAGACATAACAGGTTATATAGCAGTGCTGACTGACAATCTCCCATAACTAATGTACTGCATCTCCCTAAGATAACATCTACCTCTGGAACAATAGGTTAGATTTCAGGAGGTGTTTGTACAAAGTAAGCCAACAGTCCTCTGCCTGCAGAGCCAGAGCCAAACATACATTTCAGAGCATTCTTGTTCCCAGGGTATCTTTTCATACAGCCATGGACGTGCAGTGAAAATAGCCACTGGAATGTGTTTATCTCACTGTTTGTGAGCTAGATATATGTTCTTGTTCAACAGGTGAAAACATTTTCCCTTCCCACAACCATATCTGACTTAAGCTTAGGAAAAGCTGCTGACTAACTGCCAGTCCCTTTTGTTAACACACCTTAGGGAGACAAACCCAACTGTTCAACTCTTCACTTCCTCACTGGATATGGAGCCGAACCTCACATCTCACCTCCCAGTTTTATGGAATCAGAACTGCAGGGAACACCACAGCAGGACCTAGATGGAAGCATCCTGATTCTATTCACTGCTTCAGAACAGGATTTTATCCTTACACCTTACCTCTCACTAAGACCAAGAGTAAAACTTGTGCTTATTTAAGTAGAAGCAGAAGTAGACCAAGAGGTTTTGACAATCCCACCCCTCACGTTTCAAAATCAGAACACCAAGGAAGAGGCAGGAACTTGGAGACAGGCAGATCATTTGGATCTTCCACTTTTGGGTAGGAAGAGAAGGAAACCCAGAGAAACTGATGCAGGTTGGGCTTACGTTTAACTAGTTTGACAAACAACGATGAACAGTAAGGCAACAGGAAGTGTGCCAGTCTGATATAAAGCTTCATTAAACTTTTTTGTATAAAACAAGCATTAATTAGAGAGACAGGCAGAAGCTGAACGAGACTGTATCTAGGCTCCTTAATTCAATGTATTTAGATCACTTGCCTTCAACTCGGAGGGACACAATTTAGACCTACTTAAATGGACAACAAATGAACCATCTGAAAATGAGATCTGCTTATAAACCCTAACACGACTGCATACAATTAATAAGGTATTTCACTCTTCTTTTGTAGATTCAAACTGGTTCAGAACTCATTAGTGCACTTCCAGTCCTTTTTACGCATCACTAGGTTAACATTTGGTTTCTACCTTGGGTTTAACATATTCAAGCAATATCTGTGGCTGTATGCCCACGGAGAGCAGGAATCACCATAGTGTTTGGGAATGCTGCTTTAACACATTCTTGGTAGTAGCTGTGCCATGCTAAACCACTGCAAAACAGTTAACACATGAGCATGGCATGTTGTCCTCAGCATTTTGCATTTTACTGTGTCAAAAAGAACTACATTTCCAACCGTTAACCTTACATATCTGACCTTAAATTTTCCCATCTGAGGACAGGACTAATTTTCCTTGGAAGGTATTTCTATAAATCATTGAAAAGTAACCTCTCTACAGATTAGAAAAGCTTAGTCAAAACTCTGTATTATGAACAGTAGGGACAAGCAGTAGTAGTTTTGGTTTTGAAGGAATAGCAACATTCACTACAACTGGGAAGGCATCCATAAGGACAGCAGTAACTGACAGTTTGCAGTTCTTCAAGGAATCTTGCAAAAAGGATTTAACAGCTTATGGACACATCACCCTGCAATGTGACATGCCACTGCTTTTTAATCAGGTTTCCACACAGGGTACTGAGTATTATTCTATTTACATTTAAAAATAGCATTTTTCTCTCTTCAGTACAGAGTGGGAATGCCTGTAAGTTAGTCAGTAGAAACCCCTCTAGCACAGGTGAAGGACAGCTTTGTTGATCTCTGGGTTTGTCCAGTCATTCCGGATATCATCCAGGTGATTATCGAAATCTACCAGTGTCTCGTAGGACTTGCTGTCCAAGAGAGATGCAGCGATTCTCTGGGCTTCGGTCCAATCTTCACAAAAATCACTAGGATGTAAAATAACCAGGAATAAATAGTAATCACCAGGAAAATCTCCACTCTGGAAATTAAGCCACGCTCTCTGCAGTTAGGTCATTCTGCCTGGCTGCAGAAGCCAGTTCTCTGTCACTACAGCAAAAACAGCTTTAAAAATCACTGTCAGCTACACCCACCGCCCTTAGTGTCTCTCAACTACAATCAATGCTTTGCCCTTAACCGGGCAACCTGCTCTTCCTTACTACCCAAACACAAATAAACTCTGAAGTTTACTCACACATGCGGGTCCTTGCACCTCCACTTGTTCTCGTGAAGCTCATATACGTGAATGGCAGGCTCTACACACTCCATCGTAAACTTGGTGTTATCGACCTGTTGCGCACAGTAAAACACCACTTTAGTCTCCTCCTCAAGATCTCAAGTAAAGAGATGAAATAAAACCCAGTCAGTTTTTACTAACAGAGCACCTTACACTAACCCATCTGATCTGCTGCCTTCAAATGAGCTGAATTTCAAACTTAAACTGCCAAAACCTTTTGTCACTGCAGCAAGGAGGCAAAGCATTCCGAGTCTTACAAGAGTTAAGCAAGAGTTTAAGTCACAGAAGGGGGTCCGAATTAATGAACACACTGTCTTCACTCTAGCCTTGCAAGCAGAGAAAGCCTCCACTTCCTTTTAGGTGGCAGTAAGGTAACCATAGTTTCTTTGTAGACATACTAAGAACTGCACCGGCTACAGGTCACTGCATCTCCTCCCCAGAGCATTTGGAGGAAAAGAGAAAATTAGTTACTTCACTATTAAAGGACTCAGAGACTAGTGTATAAATGGTTAGTCCAACACCACAGTCATAACATTAACCACACAGAAAGAGGTGGGAGGGATTGAAATAATTTACCATTATGAGTGCTGTATCATTAAAGCCCTCTGCAATTCTGGAGGCCACCTTTTCTGCAACCTGGTTTGGGCTGCAACAGAAGATAGAAGCAACTGTGTTAGGTGAAGCAAGACATTTCAGCTGAAACCAGCAGGAAATATGCTTAAAAAGATGTGAAAATTACACTGTGTGCTTACAAACAGGAACCAGATATTAAGCTAATGCTACACTTGAGTGAAGTCAGAAAGCCAAGAAAGCCCCAGCTCCCCTCTTCAGCACCTGATCTGGATCTCAGCTACACTTAGGCAATGGGGTTTGGAATGGCAAAACGCTCACTGAATCAATGTTTTGTGGCCCCCTACTTTCTTCCACCAGACCAAAGACTGCAGGCACCTTTGTCCAGAGAGGTATTTAAAAAAGAAACCAAGTTTGCTCCCCAGTCTGCATTTGAACCCACGCGCTGCCCAGCTCCTCTACCAAAATCAGATAATCTTTTAAAGAAAAACCTTTATCCCATTTCAAAGAATGTCAATCTCTATGTGGTGCCAGTTATCTTCAGAAATGAAATCAGAATTCAAAGAAAACCCCAACCAAGCCTATGATATTCTTTCAAACCTCAAATAGAACAGGCAAACTGTACCTTCTCCTTAAAAATGCCCCTAGCAGAATTATTTCCCTTGTAAGGAAAGGATAAATAATGCTCTTATCCCTGTTAGACACCTTAGCAGTCACAAGGATTACTTAAATAACATACTTGAGACTGAAGGATATACATTAACAACATAGCATAACACTTTAAACAAGCTGTTCATATTTATTTTAAATGCAAGTGTGATGTCCTCTCATTAGTCCTGAAACTGGATTTGTCTAATAGACAGAGGGGACAATATTGGACACACATATCCAAAACTGTTGTGGCTCCACAGAAAGGCCCCTTTATTGCTTATTGAGTAATCTGCATTACTTAAGAGGGAAAAAAAAAATGACTAATTGTGGGGAAAATAAGTGAAAAGAGATACTGCTGTGTGACTGACATCACCTTCCATTTTGAGAGCGTCCTGTCACCATGTAAGAAAATGCTTCAATAAAACTTGCAGACTATTAGTTTAACAAGAATTAGGTCACTTCTGAAAGACTTTCAAAGATACTTGGAGTCAGTCGAGTCTACAAGATCTGTACTGAACAAGCAAACATGCCTGCAAAATTTGGCTATTTCCCTGACAACTGCAATTAAACTGGCTGGCAGTCATTCAAAGACTGGCCTTTTTTAGTATCCACTGAAGAGGAGTGGTTCTGGAAAGACTGGGGTTTCTGCACCTGAACAAAGGCCATACCCACCAGGCTCCAAGAAGACAATGTGAAAGCAGATGACAGTTGTCAAAGTTAATCAACACGCATGATTTATGTCGATGATTTTTGCTGGCAGAGTACAAAGTACAACATAAAAGAGCAAACAGAAGGAAATATTGCACCAACACACCTGGCATCTTTCACGCGTTCGTTTGCCTGGTAATATCCAGCTATCACGTAGCTATTCTCTTTGCACCAAGAGTCAATCTGAAAAAGTAATTGGAACAAGTAAGACCAGGAAAAATAAAGAAGAAACCCCCCACAGAACTAAGGAAATCTCATGTTTGCCCTGCAAATGGAATAGTAATTGAAGCATTATGGTATCTTTGCCAATTGCTTCTTTAAATATATACATATTTATATGTATTTATGTGTAGACTCACACAGTTTGGCTAATTTAACTAGAACAGAGAAATCAAGCCGAACATTTAAGAGAATTGTGGAAAACATTAACTAAATGGAGCAAAAGAGCAAGAAGTTACCTCAGTCAAAGCCTGGCCTAAATTTTAATGACAGGACTATTAACTTCTGCAATGCTGCCTGGGAAAGGAGTCTTGGTCTTACCTATTGCCCTTGGTTGCTGTTTATTCAGTAGACTCTAGAAAACATTCACCATGTGGATGTGTGACTGTTCTGTCATTCAAAAAGAGATTGTTGACTTTATTTCTATGCAGTATTATGTAGTATAATAATGTAGTACTTCTAGGGTGAATGTAACCTTTTTTACCTTCATTAGAAAACAAAGCTTGAAGTGAAAGGTGTGAGGCAGAAAAAGTTTGTCCCATTTTTTCAACCCACCCCATTACAAAAAAGGCTTTTGTGGTAAAACTGTTTTTCTTTGAGAGTTCCTCCTTATTTAACACCTGCTAAATGTAAGCACTTCTTTGCACACGACTGATGTAACTTTTGATTTACACAAGTACAAAACTTTATGTAGTTTTGGGGCTTTATTAAGTGCAGGCTCAGCATGCACACGCTGCTGCTCTTTCTGGTTCTTGCTGGATCTGAATTCTTCCTGCTGAGTCCGTCTTTCTTTAAAATACTTATATATATGATGTTTCTCCTTATAATTGAGGATATCAAGTCAGCATAATACAAAGCCCTGAAAGACAGAAGTGGAGAAAGCACCTAGAATTTTCTTTTGCAGTCCCTAGAGAGCATGCATCAAGAAAACCTCCACAGCTATATTAAAATGGAGTCCAAAAATAACTGATGCTGACCTGTCGCATCCTGTAAGTCAAATCAACCTCATTTTTAGCAGTAATTATAGTATTAGACTGCATAAACAAACAAAGCCATGTGAAATAATCCTGCCCCTACAAAGGGATGACATGGATTTACGTGATAAAAGAGGAGCTGTGTAGCCCTCCTATACCTGAAGGCCATCTGCTGTTTCAATTACAAACCCATTTTGAGGGTTTAGGACTATGGTTTTAATTGTCAGTGGCTTGAAAGCTTGGCATTAAAGCCAGAAGCGAAGACACTGAAATTAATAATAAAAAAAAAAGAAGTCAATCAATTTAAAAATTAAAAACCTTAGTTCTAAATCAATTTTTGTTGTGTACTGAAAAATGACTTAAAACAATGAAAGAGAGGACGATTTTTAAACTCTCTGTTCCCTGAGTGGCAATTAAAAACTGCCTCTGTTAAAAAAATAACTCAGGAAAAACCCATCTTTTTGGAATTCAAGCAGTTTCCACATGCACTTTCCAAACACTCTCTAACCACAGCCCTGCCGCCACATGTAGCCTCAGCAGCAATTACCCCTGATATTTTTAGTCATGCCCAGCCCTGCCAAGGACAAGCCAGCGGGAGATAAACTGTATCTCGCTTCCATACGGCATGTGTCAAAAGCAGCCTGCCCCTGGGTTTCCTGCAGCCACTAAAGCGTGTGTAGGAGGGCCTGGAGAGCCCCGGGAGGGGAAAGGCTGTAACCTACGACCCTTCTGACCATGGGTCCAAGCACTGGGAAGCTGGCCACGGGAAGTGCTGCTCAGTGTGGTGCTGTTTGTGCTCTTTTTGAGAAGAATATGGCTGCAAACCCACATCAATTAGCTGAGAAATTCAAAAGCACAAAAACAACTACCCCCCCCCCCCCATGTGAAACTTAATTCACTTTTTCTTTAATGACTCCGTTTTCAAAAGGGATTTCAAACTGATGAGCCAAAGTGCAAATTAAATGCACACGCTTCTGCTCTCTTCTTCAGAGCTACAAACCATCAGGTGCTGCTGCGTGTTTAACAACATCTAATTTTGTGGATTCCTTGTACCTAACTGCTCCTCACAATTTTTAGGAGTTACCACGTGGACAAGCATATTTTCGGGCTAAATCTGGAGACTACTGCTCCCATTTAATGTTCTGGGATAATTCAGGTGAGATGAGGAGGTGCAGCTCGAGGAGCTGGTTCTATAAAACCCTCACACAGACCACAGGCTGACCAAGAAACAGCAGTAATTGAACTGAAGAGAGACAGATCACATCAAAACCTGCCAAATCTGTAAAATCCTTTAGAAACAGAAGTGCTTTGTTACAAACTCTCAGTTTCAATGCTAATCTCACCGATTTATTCAGTAACCATGTGTTATGTGGTACAGAACACTCTCCTCTTCAACCCTACAACAATAAAACCCAATTCTCTTAGCTGCCGAGCCAGTATTTACTGACACCTTTGCCTCTGTTTAAACAAAGAACGGGAGCAAAAGGCCCCAGGCTCTTGTTGAGCAGAGAGTTTTAAAGCTGCCAAGCATCACAGGAGTCATCAAATGTGATTGCAAAGCCCTCTGCAAGTCCTAATTAATGTGGGAAATGCCAGGGGTTTCCCATCTTCGGCTTTTTGTATTAAAACCCAAGAGCAAATGTATAAGCCACTAGCGTTTCTTTGGTTCCATAACGATCTGCTTACTGTAGATATGGTAAGATACTTCAGATATTTCAAGAAAGAGGATTTATTTCCTAATAATCTGATCCTGGAGCAAGATTCACACTAGAAAACTACACCAAAAGCCTAAAATTCATGAAAATTCACTGCAACTAACCACAGAAAAACATCTCTATTTAAAGACAAATCCTACACATACTTTATTATGCATGTTATTTTATACTTCACTAGCAACTTCCACTCATTCCCACAGGAAAAACAAATTACTGCTGTTCCAAAAGGTAAAGTCAAGCCCTGCCTACATTAAAGCAATTCTAAACAGGATTATTACATTTTCCCAGGCTGTACCATGAGGAAAACCATAAGCAGGAAATGATTACATTCACAGTGTTACTCCTACACTGTTACACTGGTGTAAATGTGTTTAAGACTGACAAATATTGTGTGCTTCACAAGGGCACAGGCCAGGGCTTGGGCTCAGCTCCTGTTCCTACGCCTCTGGCTGCACATCGTCATTTCCAGGCTTTGGAATGATCTCTACATTCCCATGGCACCATCTCAACTACAGAAAACTGGAAATTATTTATGAGCAAATATGTTTTCTTCATTAGGCTATCTATTAAACTGAGGGGAACATTCAGGACAAGAAGTCTAGAAGGATCAGGAATTAGTTACTTTTCAAGGTATAAAAAAGGGACAGATTTTCTCCGGATAAGAATGACAAGTCTCAAAATGGATAGAAAAGTCCAGAGCTCAAATCACACCCAGATCTCACTTTATGCCTACAGTGAAGGTGCCAAAGCACTTCTTTGCCTCCAGATTTGCCCCAATCCACGCCGACTCCCTATTACAATATATCCAAGCATGTTTTGCTCCCCATTCCATTCCTTCTGGTTTGAGGACTCTCCCAAGATGCCTGGTGGAATGGAGCTGTGGCCCAGTGCAGGGTGGCTCCTGCTCTGCCTGAACAGGGAGTTGAGATGGGAAAGTGCTGGTCCTGCATTCCTGACATCACTCTCATCCTGCTTGTACGATGTGAGAGGGGGGAAATGGATTATCCCATGATGACTCACTGTAAGGCCCTTTCACAGCAGTGGGCAAGGTGCGGGATACAAACCAGGAGTGCTTGGCTGCCCCTAGCTACCCCATGGTTAATGGACTGACAGCAAGCTGGCAAGATACTAAGTGAGATTTCACACACAAACAAGACCTGCAGTATGAAGAGACATTATTCTTTCTTCCTAATTAGGCTAATAGCTTCCATAAATGGGGAAAGTACAACAAAATGAATTAAGAAATACATACTTATTGTTGAATGGTTTGGGTCGGAAGGGACCTTAAAGCTCATCCAGTTCCAACCCCTGCCTGGGCAGGGACCCCTTCCACTAGAGCAGCTTGCTCCAAGCCCCTGTGTCCAACCTGGCCTTGAACACTGCCAGGGATGGGGCAGCCACAGCTTCTCTGGACACCCTGTACCAGCGCCTCAGTACCCTCACAGGGAAGAGCTTCTGCCTAAGAGCTCATCTCGGTCTCCCCACAGGCAGGTTCAAGCCATTCCCCTTGGCCTGCCCCTACAGGCCTTTGTCCAAAGCCCCTCTCCAGGTTTCTCCTCTTTTTAAGCACTGGAGCTGCTCTAAGGTCTCCCCTTCAGGAACCTTCTCTTCTCCAGGCTGACCGAGACCAGCTCTCTCAGCCTGGCTCCAGAGCAGAGGTGTTCCAATCCTTGCAGCATCTCCATGGCCTCCTCTGGCCTCACTCCAACAGCTCCACGTCCCTCTTGTGCTGTTGCCCTAGATCTGGATCAGGGCTGCAGGCAGTGTCTCCTCAGAGGGCAGCAGAGGGGGAGAAACCCCTTCCTCAGCTGCTGCTCACGCTCTGGGGGTGCAGCCCAGCAGACAGCTGGCTTTTTGGGCTGTAAGTGCACACTGTTGGCTCATGCTGAGCTTCTAATCAACCAACACCCTCAAGCCCTTCTCCTCAGGGAGGCTCACAACCCACTCTGCATCTGTATTTGTACTTGGGATCACCATGACCCAGGTGTAGGACCTTGCACTTGGTCTTATTGAACTTCACATGAGGTTGGCATTGGCCCACCTCTCGAGCCTGTCCAGGTCCCTCTGGATGGCATCCCTTCCCTCCAGTGTCCTGACTGCACCACGCAGCTTGGTGTTGTTAAACTTGCTGAGGGTGTCCTCAATCCCACTGTCCATGTCACTGACAACAGGAGCTACTCAGATGCAAGAGATACTTGTGTCTGTACTCAGAGTGCCCTTTTCCAATCAAAGAGTACCCTTTTCTAACCAGCTGACACTGCTTTGAGATGCCTTAAAGGTAAACTGGGATACGCTCTTTCTGCTGTAGAACAAGGGAATGTCCTCTGGGAGTTACTCAGGGAATAATAACACCAATATAAATAGCAGCTTCCCTGCACTTAAAAGGAAATTAGACAAAACTAAAGGGCTCTGTAACTGCTATTTCCCCAGTGGACAGGCCTCGGGGTTTCCCCACTTTAGGCAAACTCTGCTCCCTATACCAGAACCACCCCAGGCACCTCAACACCAGCCTCTCCTCACCCCAAGCTCAGCCAGGCCCTGGCAGCCATCCCTCCCGTGTCCACCACCCCACAGCCCCCAAGCTTGGCCCCTTACCAGCGTGAGTGCCACCTCCAACATGGGCGCCAGCGCCAGGGTGCCGTGGAAGAGAGGGATGCAGTCCACGAAGAGCGAAGGGGGCCCGGCCTGCTCTCGGCGCGGGGCTCCCGAGGGCCGCTCGGCCACCAGCAGCCCGTTCACGGCGCAGTGCGGGTACTTGGCGCTGTGCAGCACCATCTTACAGTAGGCCTGCGTGGTCAGCTTCATCCTGCCGCGACACCGGCCCCGGTACCGACACCGGCTCCGCCACCTCCCCTCAGCTCTCTCGCTTGCCGCAAAGCGTCGCCAAACACCGCCGAGCACTGTCGTAAAAGCGAGGCAGACAGTCCGCCGCTATCCCATCAGCCCCTCGGAAGGGGCCGCGCTTCCGGTTCGGCGGCTCTTCCGTCGCAGCGCGGCGTAGAGGACGGTGTCAGGTCGTCGGGCCGCGACGGGCCCCGGGGCTAACGGGGGGGACACCGGGGACAAGGGGGGGGACTGGGGCACAGCGGGGACGCGCCGCGGCTCCCCCTCGCCCCGGGGGGGTTGTGGTTGGATGGGGGGTATGGGGGGAGCGCTGCGCGCTGCGGTCTCCTCCCCCGCTTGAAGGCCCCTCAGCGCGGCCCCGCGTCGGTGTGTCTCTGCTGTCGCGTTGTGTCGGGCGTTATCGTGATAGCGTTGGGGGGTTGTGGGGGAGTGATAGAACCGTGTCCTGCAGCGCCGGTGCCGGTCTGCGGCATACACCGTTAGCGGGGCGTGTGTCCTTGTGCGGGCGCGCCAACGTTGGGCGGTGCTGAGCCGTTTAACGGATGCGGGATGCGTTTAGTGAATGCGAGGTGCGTGTAGATTCTCGTTTCGAGCTCCTGGGTTGTGCCAAGTAACGATTTGTTACCGGGTGAAAGCGTTTAGAGGGGCCGACTTAAACAAGGGCTGGCACTGGAACAGGGAGAGGAAGGTTTAATCCCAGTCACTTAGGTAAGGGAATGACCCTGAAAACCGAGTACTGGAAGGACAGGAAGCCTCTGGTCTGGCTATTTTATAGTCTCGTGGAAAACGGCGTTATTTCACCTTTGTGCATTTGATGTCTTTGCCTCACCTTGACTTACCTACTGCTGTTTTGTGCTGACAGGATGTTGGCTTCCAGGGCATTCAACCTTATTGGGAAGAGAGCCATTTCCACCTCCATCTGCTTGAGAGCTCATGGACATGGTAGGCGGTATTGTATAAATACCGAATACTGCTTTGGTATTTTAGTGAGGGTAATGGGAGGAGCAGTTTAGAGGAAGAACACAAAAAGCTGCTGCTTTTTGTTGAGATAGAGGAGGGATGGTGGGGCTGGTGGCAGTAGAGCTGAGCAGGCTGTGCCAGCAGATGGCATTGTGGAGGTGCAGGCAAGGTTGAGGGCTAGGCAAAAACCAGGATGGAAGATGGAAACAGGCTGAGAGACTGGGCTGGTTCAGCCTGGAGAAGGCTCTGGGGAGATGTTAGAGCAGCAACCAGTGCCGGAAGGGAGAAAATCTGGAGAGTGTCTTGGGAGAAGGGATGTAGGGACAGGCCAAGGGGAATGGCTTTAACCTGCCAGAGGGGAGACTGAGATGAGCTCTTAGGCAGAAGCTCTTCCCTGTGAGGGTGCTGAGGCGCTGGCACAGGGTGCCCAGAGAAGCCGCAGCTGCCTCATCCCTGGCAGTGTTCAAGGCCAGGTTGGACACGGGCTTGGAGCAAGCTGCTCTAGTGGAAGGGGTCCCTCCCTGTGGCCCAAGTGGTTTGTCGTGATTTAAGCCCAACTGGTAACTCACAGCCACACAGCTGCTTGCTCCCCTCACTCCCGGAGGGAGAGGGAGGAGAATTGAAAGAGTGTAACTCCCACAGGCTGAGATAAGAACAGTCTAGTAACTACGGTATAACACAAACAGCTACTGCTACCACCAATAATAATAATGATAAAGGTAATATCAAGGGCAGAGAATATAAAACTGAAAGGGGAAAAGGAAAACAAACACAGGGGATGCACAACACAATTGCTCACCACCCGCTGATCGATACCCAGCCTGACCCGAGCAGTGATCTGGGCCTCCCAGGTGACTCTCTCCAGTTTCCATACTGGGCATGACATGCTGTGGCATGGAATACCCCTTTGGTTATTTTGGGTCAGGTGCCCTGGCTCTGCTTCCTCCCAGCTTCTTGTGCCCCTCCTCGCTGGCAGAGCATGAGACTGAAAAGTCCTTGATCTGGGTAAGCATTACATAGCAACAACTAAAACATTGGTGTTATCAGTGGTGTTCTCAGGCTAAAGCCAAAACACACCACTGCACCAGCTACTAAGAAGGAGAAAAATGACTTCTGTTGCTGAACTGAGGACAGGGTTGGAACTGGATGAGCTTTAATATTCCTTACAACCCAAACAAGTCTGTGATTCTATGATTAATAAGGTGATTTAGGGTATAACCTTTTTATATATTCCCCTTCTGCTTTATTCTTTCACTCTTAAAATAGCACCCATTTTAAATGCTTCACCTGGAAGTCTTCTCCTTCCTGGATTCTTTAGCTGACATCACTTTTTTGACTGAGCTGTTGGGTTTTTTTTTGTATTGTAAGCAGTAAGAGATGCTTGTGCAGGAGTCAGAAGCTGTGTGTCTCTTCTGTTCCCCTGTGCAGCTGGTGTTGTCAAAGCGGATGATTTCAGCCTCCCAGCCTATGTTGACCGCCGTGATATTCCCCTGCCTGAAGTGGCCTTTGTGAGGGATCTCTCTGCTCAGCAGCAGGCTCTGAAAGAGAAGGAGAAGGCATCTTGGACTGCTCTGTCTGCTGATGAGAAAGTTGAACGTGAGTAATGGGGGCTTTAAGTCACCTTACATCTACCAATAGAGTGATCTAACCTGTTGTGTGTTAATTACTGACACCTGGTAGGGCAGCCACTAACCCCTGGGCCTCCTGATGGCTCTGCCATGAGGAGCTTTGTTAATTCCAGTGGAGCTGCTTGTGCTTACACATGCAGAGGTCAGTGCTTGGTCTTCCTGCGATCCTTGGTGCTGTTTCAAAGTCACACATTCCTGCTGTTGTGTCTGTTACGTACCTGAGGTCAAGTCCAGCAATTTCTTCTTTTTCTAGGAAATAATAATTATATTTCTTGATTCCTGTCTACTTTCAACAAGCCAGATCTCCTCGCTACAACAATATGCAGTAGTTAGTCCAGCTGAGTAAAAATGAACCTGGGGATTGGAATGTTAATGACCACTGACCTCAGCATTGCCAGATTTTGGCTGATTAAAGTGCCAGGCAGGTGTTTTGACTTGCAAATAAAACTGAATTGTCTTTTCAAACTAACATCATGGTATGCCAGTGAGAACCCGCTTTGAGAACATTCTGTGTCTGCTCCTGTCAAAGGTAGAAGGCTTAAAACTCCTTTGGGAATGTCTGTAATATGCATAAGTACGCTCCAAGTGTGATGTTCTGAATGTCAAATTCATTTGGACCTTGCTGACAAAGGTGAGAGGAACCTTCTGAGATACAAGTGCTCCTGTTGAAGTGATTCGTGCTCAGAAGGTTTGGTTGCAGTAACTGCTGGGAGTTGGAGGGGAGGAAGAAGAGCTCTGTTCCTCCTCCTTTTTTGGACTGATAATGCAGCTTTACAGTAACCTCTAAAATAGAGGTAAACATCAACCTGCTGGGGGCGAGTCATATGGTGATGGTGAAGCAACGCCATGGCACGAGGGCCTTGGTTTTGGTGCAGGAGAGTCCAGCTAATTCAGAAGCTCTTTAACATCACTTTCGATGTTGAAGTGATTTGGCTTTAAGCTTTGGTAACCTCCTTCTGGAGCATGGCATGTGGGCTGCAAGTCACAGCAGAAGGGAAAGGAATAGTTTGATGCTTTTAACTTGTATTTTTTTTGCAGTGTATCGTATCAAATTTAATGAGACCTATGCAGAAATGAAGAAAGGAACAAACGAATGGAAGACTGTTGTTGGTGGAGTGCTGTTCTTTCTCGGTTTAACTGGTTTGATCCTCATTTGGCAGAAACACTTCAGTAAGTAAACACCGTACGGTGTTAACTCTTAAATGAAGAGCAAGATCAGTTGATATTTGATGGGGAAAACAGTGATGGGAAATGAGAGATTTGCTGTGAGCCACTCCAGGGAGTCTGTGGTGTATACATCAGCCATGGTGGTGCCCTCCTGGCACTTGCTGTTTGTTAGTCTCTGAAAACTCAGTTCTGGATCTTCTTTATGGAGATCAGCAGGGGTGTAGTGTGAGTATTCAAGAAGCTCACTCACTGGGAGGTGAAGGTGGTGGAGAGAGCTTTGGTGGGAGGAAAAGGAGGGGAAAGAGCGGTGATACCGCTGATCCCAGAGCTTCCCTTCTCTGAAACCTGCTGTTGCAAAAGCTTCTTGCTGCTTTGGTAGTAAACATTTGGGTTTCTGCCACATTTGGCTTCATTCCCAGCCAACGTTGCTCCCCCAGGGGAGCCTTCCAGCTGCCGCAAGGCAGAGCATGCAGTTAAATGAGCTGTTCTGTGTCCTGAGGCTTCATCTACTTGCAGTGAAAGTAGAGGGTTGTTGTCTTGGTACAAGCCTTTAGAGATGAACGGAAACAGCTAGGGAATCGATGTGAGAATCCCACCTGAGCCGAGTGCTTCAGGACTCGGATGTAAGGAATGCAGGTTTGAAGAGATGATGGTGTGTGGGAGATCGGCACCTGTGGCTTTGGGGGGAAAAAGCTTTTCATTAGTGAAACTTCAGTTCCCAGCTTCGTATTGTAATGTGATTCCACCTGCCTTTGAATTGCAGTGTACGGCCCTATTCCGCACACCTTCTCCGATGAGTGGGTGTCGGCGCAGACGAAGAGAATGTTGGACATGAGGGTTAATCCCGTGGAAGGCATCTCTTCCCAGTGGGATTTTGAGAAGAACGAGTGGAAGAAATAAGGCAACTCAGTACAGCCTGTTCTGCTTGAATATGAAATGATTCCATCACCTATGTGTGACCTCGTTGTTGTGTACTGGAACAACCTCTCCACCTACATAGAGGCTAATAAATGTCTGGTGAACTTGAAGGTGTCCTTTTATTGGTGTATGGATGTGTGTGGTGTGATGGGAATCTGAGGGGCAGAGCTTTCCTGGGTAATCTCATCATAGATGGTGTGTGTTCAAGGGAATGTCTCTGGGGTACAGCCAGCCATCCTGCTGTGCAGAGGTCAGAGCTACATGTAAGGTAAGCAGATCCCAGCCACGGCAGAGACTCTGCATCCCGTAACCACTCCAAAAATAGCATGTCAGTGCTCGAAAAGGCCAAGTCGAAGAGAGCAGGGGGTGTGGTGGATGGCAGCTCTGCTCCGTCTGCCTGTCCTTGTGAAGGGAATGTGAGGAAGAGATGGAATTACTACATCTAGTTAAGCCAAGAATAGGTTTAGACCCCACACCTTGCCTTATGTGTGAGGTGATGGTGCTTGGAGGGGATCACTGCAGAGTGGGGAGGGAAAATATCTGTGTTTAGTGGGAGCATATGGAATTTTATTAAACAGTGGGTTGGACACATTCTGGTTCATGGCTTAGTATTTCCAGGGCCTGAGCTAAGAAAGGTGGTGCCTTTGCTTTGCTGTCTGTAGCTGCTGACTTTCTCCCTTTGGCTAGTCTTTCTGAAGGCAAACTTCTGCCGTCAGCTTAAAAACACCCCTCTGAAGACTAAAGCAAGCTTCAGCTTCAGTTTGCTGTCTTCCTGCATTGGTTTTAAATCCATGTGCATGTTTAGCAGCTGAGGTGGAAACCCTGGGGTGGCCTCAGCTGCATGTGGTGACCTGCTGTGCTGCGACTGGCCAGCTTTTCCCTTCCAGAGAGATGGAGGTTTTTAAGATGAGATGATTTGATGGGAATTAAGCCATGAGCTCCCTTTCCTACATCTGAAACATCCCTTAGGTGAAGTGCTTATCTCTGGGGCGCTGAGGAGGATGTAACAAGGATGACACAATCACAGCCTGGTGATGGCTGCGGGGTTTTTGCTACACTTGTGGTTTGCTTTCCTCTGCTCTTCATATAGCTGGTGCCTCTGGCAGGCTGCTGGCGCTGAGCTGGGAAGGGGCCAGCAAGCTGCTAGGCAGATCTGCTTTGGAAATGGATGTTCTGAAGCATGTGCTGGAATAGCAGTGCTGCTTTACAGCTCCTCTTAGCTCCATTCCTGCAGGGAGGGGGAGATGGATTTATCCCCAGTGCTCCATTAGCTGCCGGTTATTTGTGCCACGCTCTGATTTCTGAGGTAAGTTCCCTATTCTGCATTCTGCTCTCATTCCTGTGGCTGGGATGAATTAGCATGAATGGGAGAGATATCCCATGGAGTGCAGGTCTTGTACCAGCCTGTAGCATGCCAGAATGATGCCCAGAAGCATCTCTGTGACAAGGGAGTTATTCCTGCCGGGAACAACCTCCCATTCACTCTCCCTAAAGGGTTGTGAAAGCCTCATGGAGCCCAGGATAGAAACCTGAGCCTCACCATGGCCCTGGATCCTTATTTCCTCCTCCCCTGCCTGGCAGCAGCCACTCTCCTCCAACCCTTTCACCCTAGAGCACGGCGCAGGGACCTGCTGGAGCAGCCTATGGCCTGTGAGTGAGCCGAGTTTGCCAGGGCTCTGCATGCTCCTCTCCTGGCACATGTTCCCCTTCCTCCTGCTCTTGGCAGAGGGATGCACTGTTGGGAGGTGATGGATCTCACTGTCCTGACTGTGATTTTGGGGTGTTTGTTTGCAGATAGCCTTGGATACTGAGGAGCCACCTGAATCCTGATCCTGGGGACAGGAAAACCATGGGGAGTGGAATGACCAAGGTACTGGGGGCCAGCGGGACGGTGGCCAGCTTGTCCTTAGGCAGGACCTTCTGCAGCACAGGGGGATGCTTGTTCAGAGCCACCATGATCATAGAATGGTTTGGGTTGGAAAAGACCTTAAAGCTCATCCAGTTCCAACCCCCTGCCCACCTTCCATTTAGACCATGTCATCCATTATGCTCTAAATAAAGCCCTTTGGATATTCCCTTTCTCATTCCCATTTGAAGCTCCAAGCACTTAGGCAACTAAGAAAGCAAACGGTGATTGCTGGGTGCCTGTGGGTGCTGGAGGTGCAAAGGATGCTGCAGGGGATGAAGGGGACTGTTGGGATCCATCATCCTGGGGTGCTGCAGAGGGTGAAGGGAACTGTTGGGATCCACCATCCTGGGATGCTGCAGAGGATGAAGGGGACCGGTACAGCTGTAGCTGTACCAGACTGGTACAGCTTTATACGCTTGTCCCTTGGGTGGTAAGGCGGTTGCATTAGCATCCCCCGGGCTGATGGGGTCCCTGCAGGGGAATTTCCTCCCCCTGCCACCCCTGGGACACGTTTGTGCCCAGCAGCTACACACAGCAAAGGGGAATGCGATGTTTTGCTGCTGCTTGCTCCTCAGCTGAGCTCCAGGGCTGACAGAGGGGATTGATTTCTGCTGCTGTCCTTAAATAACCGTTCGGTATGTGCGTTATTCAGTTTAAAATTAGACCCTGAGACAACAACAGTGAGACCAGATCAGGGCAAACTCTCTCTGCATGGCTCTGGTGTGGTTTAACACTGGCATTTCATGCCCTGTGCATGCAGCCTCACCTACAGAGTGGCTTTTACAGCCCCTCTGGTGCCACTGACCCCACTTGGGGAGCCCAGGCTGCCTTTGCCAGGGGATGGGTTGGTGCAGACATGTTTGTGCTGCTTTGATTTGATGAGCTAAAGGGTTCAGTGTCCCCCTTCTATTGGCAACAGCTTGTGCCATGCTGGGTGACAGGCATTTGCTGTTTGCACCCCATGGATGGGCTGGGGTTCAGCTGAATTAGAGGGTGGCTGGATGTGACCCAGTGCCATTCCTACAGCCTCTCAAACCAAGGGTCTTCTGCCAGATGGGTGCAAACAGGTCAGCTCTTCCTTTCTATGCCTCGGTAAATGGCTCTGGTGGGCTCTTACAGCCCAAAAATACTCTGAGCTGCCCCTTTTTCTCCTCCATAACGCTGCAGCAGTGAGTCATTGCCCAGCTCCACATACTTGATGGCACTTACTGCAGCATCCTGCCCAGAGAGGTGTTATAAATAGCCTGTGCCTTTGCCTATTTATCCGTCGCTGACAGAGGCAACCTTTGAAACTGTTTGCAAGAGGTGGTTGCTATAGAATAGATAAATAAATCCCAGCTGCAGCGGGGCTGGTTTGCCTGCAGGAGATAGGGAGGGGGGGTCCCTGCTGGACCCCCACCTTGAAGGAGGAGCTGGGATGGGCTGAGCTGTTTGATTCAGCCCTTTTCTGATGGGAAAACAGGACCCTGTGCGAGCCCCTTCCATTGATGTGCTGAGGTTTCCTGAGCTCTGTGCTCCTAAAGAGGTTTGGAATGGTGGTTTCAGTGGGCATCAGCTTTGCTGTTCATTAATGAAGGTGATTCATTAATTAGGTGCTTGGTTTATCATTGCCTGGGGGGGGTTGGTGCCAGGTGCTCTGGTCCTGCTGGTACCACGCATGCAGTTCGATGCTCCCACCATGTCTGATGCAATCTGTGCCTGGCACTGCATTAAATCTCTCTCCTTTCTGTCACCTCCCAGGTTGTCAAAGGCCTTTATCTTGGGAACATCCGTGGTGAGTGCTTTTCCCTGTGTTTCCCTGTGTTCCCACCTCTGTGTTGCTGTGAGATCCATGGGGCTGGAGGAATCCCTCTGTGCTCTCTCTGCCTGCTCCCTGTTGAGGACCTCAGCGTTATCCAGAGATACTAATCCCCCAGATAGCCCCATCCCAATCACAAGTGGTCCTGTGCCACTCTAGCTCAGGAAATGGATATCCATAGGGAGTGCTGGAGTACTGGGAAACCCCGGCATCGTTGGAAACCTCCCCTGTGTTTGCTGAGACAATATTTACTGTGGGACAACGCCTGGCTTTCTTGCTGGGCCCTGCAGGGAGCAGGAAGCTTGTGTTTTCTCCAACAGTGAGGACACAACAGCCTTTTCCAAGAGCATAATATCTGGTTTTGGGGGGAGTCTGCTGAATATCCAGTTCATCCAAGGGGAATTTTGCTTTGAAGGAGGGGCATCGTGATGCTTGGTCTCCTTCCCCTGAGAGTGAAAAGCAGTGGGAATGGGGGACAAAGGGGCTTGGGATGATGGATGTGGGGTGCTGGTGGGTGCTTGGTCCGTCAGATCTCCCAGATAACTCATGTGCTTCTCCCACTTCCAGACTCTGAGGACCATGAGAGCCTGCGGAGGAACGGGGTGACACACATCCTCTCCATCCACAATAGTGCCAAGCCAGTGCTGGAGGTCAGTGCTCCGGTTGGGGGGCCTGTGGGGCCATTCCAGAGGCGTTAGGGACTGGGAGGGTGTAATTGGGACACACGCAGTGTTCTCCTGGCATGGGGCAGAGAAGCAGTGCTGGACTTGCAGTGACTTGCAGTGGTTTGCACTGATTTGCACTGACTTGCGCTGATTTGCACTGATGCTGAATTGCACCCAAAGGGGCTCAGCCTTGGGTTTTGGGGTGGGGACCCAGGTGTTTTGGGGGGCACTGCCCCTCTCTCTTTGGGTTTTAGGGGCCGCAGGGCTGGAGGGGCCGGGAGCACCGCGAGAGGGCGGCGGCGGCCCGCGGATGGCGGCACCGGGGCCGTCAATGGCCCCGACGGGGAGGAGCGGGGGGGCACAGCAGGACCGGAGCAGCCCAGCCGCACCCCCGAACAAGGGTCCCGGTCCTTGTGTCCCCACTCAAACCTCGCTGAGCCCGGAGCTCTGCAGAGCCCTCGGGATACGGGTGGGGAAACTGAGGTGGGAGGGTTGGTGCCAGAGGTGCAAAGGATGCTGCAGAGGATGAATGGGTCTGTTGGGATCCATCATCCTGGGGTGCTGCAGAGGGTGAAGGGGGCTGTTGGGATCCATCATCCTGGGGTGCTGCAGAGGGTAAAGGGGACTGTTGGGATCCATCATCCTGGGGTGCTGCAGAGGGTAAAGGGGACTGTTGGGATCCATCATCCTGGGGTGCTGCAGAGGATGAATGGTCTGTTGGGATCCATCATCCTGGGATGCTGCAGAGGATGAAGGGGACTGGTACAGCTACAGGTTAGGCAGAGATGTGATTCAGAGCAGCAGAAGGACTTGGGGGTGTTGGTTGATGAGAAACTGAACATGATCAGGCTTCAGTGTGCACTTGCAGCCCAGAAAGCCAACTGTATCCAGGGCTGCATCAAAAGGAGCGTGACTAGCAGGTCGAAGGAGGTGATCCTGCCCCTCTACTCTGCTCTCGTGAGACCTCACCTGGAGCATTGTGTGCAGTTCTGGTGTCCTCAACATAAAAAGGACATGGAACTGTTGGAACAAGTCCAGAGGAGGCCACGAGGGTGATCAGGGGACTGGAGCACCTCCTGTATGAAGACAGGCTGAGAAAGTTGGGGCTGTTCAGCCTGGAGAAGAGAAGGCTGCGTGGAGACCTGATAGCAGCCTTCCAGTATCTGAAGGGGGCCTATAGGGATGCTGGGGAGGGACTCTTCAGTAGGGACTGTAGTGATAGGACAAGGGGTGATGGGTTCAAACTTGAACAGGGGAAGTTTAGACTGGATATAAGGAGGAAGTTCTTTACTGTGAGGGTGGTGAGGCACTGGAATGGGTTGCCCAGGGAAGATGTGAATGCTCCATCCCTGGCAGTGTTCAAGGCCAGGCTGGACAGAGCCTTGGGTGCCATGCTTTAGTGTGAGGTGTCCCTGCCCATGGCAGGGGGGTTGGAACTGGATGATCTTAAGGTCCTTTCCAACCCAAACTGTTCTATGGTTTTATGATCCTGGGATACTGCAGAGGGTAAAAGTGACTGCGGGGATCCATCATCCTCAGACGTTGCAGGGGTTGAAGGGGACTGCAGATCCCCCTCAGCCTTTGGGACCACAATGGATAGGTAGCTCCATCAAAACATCAGCTTGAGCCCTTTCCTCCCTAAGGCATTGGGTAAGGTGCAGTGGGGCACAGAGAGGAGGAAGAAGGCTGCATGAAATGGGTGCAGAGAAACGGCTCGAGGCTGGGGAAGGGGCAGCAGCTGGTGCTGGCGGTGCTCAGGGCACGGCCAGATGGGTAACAAACCACACGGTGACTTACAACACGGAGCAAGGCGGGAGGAAAGGGGAACCGGAAAGGCATGGTGGGTTGAGCAATGTGTCAATCACTGCCCCGGCTCCGCAACCGCAAACCCCAGCACTGTTCCCACGAGTGGCCCCGCTCCCCAAGGCAGGATGGGGGCACCATGGGGAAGGGGAAGCCACTGGGAGCCCGGCAGTTGTTAAGGGATCGGGGCACAGGGAAGAGTGGGATTGGTTTGGCTGCTGTACTGGTTGGTGCAGTGGCTTGGACTATGTGGTCGCTCTTCTTGCTGCGGGGAGGTTTGGTTAGTACCAGGCATGGTTTCGGGAACCCATGTCCAGGATTGGTGGATTTCCAGGTTTTGGGAATCTACAGACAGAACTGATGGATTTCCAGGTTTTGGAGATCCACGGCCAGAATTGGCGGATTTTCAGGTTTTGAGGATCCATGGTCAGGATTGATGGATTTCCAGGTTTTGGGAATCTACAGCCAGGATTGGTGGATTCCCAGGTTTTGGCGATCCACAAGCAGAACTGATGGATTCCTAGGTTTGGGGGATCCATGGTCAGAATTGATGGATTCCTAGGTTTTGAGGATCCATGGTCAGAATTGATGGATTCCTAGGTTTTGGGGATCCATGGTCAGAATTGATGGATTCCTAGGTTTTGGGGATCCATGGTCAGAATTGATGGATTCCTAGGTTTTGGGGATCCATGGTCAGAATTGATGGATTCCTAGGTTTTGAGGATCCATGGTCAGAATTGATGGATTCCTAGGTTTTGAGGATCCATGGTCAGAATTGATGGATTCCTAGGTTTTGGGGATCCATGGTCAGAATTGATGGATTCCTAGGTTTTGGGGATCCATGGTCAGAATTGATGGATTCCTAGGTTTTGGGGATCCATGGTCAGAATTGATGGATTCCTAGGTTTTGGGGATCCATGGTCAGAATTGATGGATTCCTAGGTTTTGGGGATCCATGGTCAGAACTGATGGATTCCTAGGTTTTGGGGATCCATGGTCAGAATTGATGGATTCCTAGGTTTTGGGGATCCATGGTCAGAATTGATGGATTCCTAGGTTTTGGGGATCCATGGCCAGGATTGATGAATTTCCAGGTTTTGGGAATCCACAGCCAGGATTGGTGGATTTCCACGTTTTGGGGATCCATCATCCCACAAAACCTGCTGCTGTTTGCTTGTTGGTCCTCATGCCCTTGCCTGACACGTGGTTCCCTTCTACCTGCCAAGCTCCTGCCTGCATCCACCATCCCCTGTGTGCTGAGGAGCCGCAGTTTGGCTGAGGCATGGATGAGGAGCACACTGGCTCTATTTCTCCCCTTATCCTGGCCTTTCCAAGTGTTTTTCCAGGCAGGGAGCAGCCCGCTGGCATCCCATGAGGAGCTGGCAAGTGCCACCTTGTCCCCATCCCATGAGAGGCTGCAGGGTGGCAGGAATGAGCACGGGACTGGGCTAGGGAGGGTGGATAGGACGGATATGTGATGCATGGGAATTCCTGCCCGTGCTTGTGCTTACAGCATGGGTCTTTCCAGCACTGAGATATCCCCTTGCCCATCCCGTGCTGCCCCTTCCCTACTTATATAATCCTGGTTTTCCAGCCTCCCAATTTACCCTGGGCTCGAGGGTATCCCATGGGATTGGTCAGCCTAAGGGGGACCTCTCCATAGCTATGCCCACGGCAGGGGGTTGGAACTGGATGATCTTAAGCTCCTTTGCAACCCAAACCAATCTATGATGCCACTGGAGATGGGGCAATCCCTGTGCTCGGCTGTTTTGGCTCTGTCTGTCAGGATTTCCATCTATTTTGCTGAGAAAAGGGAATAAAAAACACAAAAAGAGGAAAAAAAAAGAACCTCAGATGAAAAGGATCTAATTTTAGCTCGGAACAGGGAGGCTCGAGGAAGCGATGTTTTAAGGAAAGGAAAGTAATCTGACCTACGCCAACATGCGGCAGGATGATTTATTGTGTATTAGAAAGGGCTGGCAGGAAATAACTCATTGATGAGAGGGGCTTCGTCAGTGCTTGTTCATACACGTCTTTCTCATGGGGCTCGCTGGTTGGGGCCCCAGGAGAGGGGTGGCTCAGATTTGAGGGGCTCCTGTAGCAGTTTCCCATGGCCTGGATTCTCCTATGGGATGAAATGGGGGGTAAGACCCTGGGGTGGGTTGGATGTGTTTCTCTCTGTCCATAGGGAGCAGGGTGGTGGTATCCAACACCTCACTGTGGCTTCCTCCTCACCTAAGGGTCATATGGGGAGAGGAAAAAGAGAGAAATTAAGGCTTTTTTGTGTTTCTTGCAAGTATTTTATTACTTATCCTATTACTTCAACCATTTTTATATTGCAGGACATGACCTATCTCTGTATCTCGGCCTCAGATTCTTCCAGTCAAAACCTGTAAGTCATTTGCCGTCCTTTTTCCTCAGTATTGACCTTTTTTGATCAATAAAAGCTCAGATTCTGCAGGATGAAGGTTCAATTTGTGCTGTAAAAGCTTTGTATTGTTGCAGAGCTTGACAGAAGCAGTGGTTCATTCTCAGGTTAAATAGCATTTGTAGGGCTTAAAATGTGTTTCTGTGTGTGTTTGCATTCTATTTTCCATGAAATCTGGGATTTTTTCTACTGGGCAGGTTAAGAATTGGAGCATTAGAAAGACAGTGATTTGTGGTGTTCTTCCATACATTTTCCTTGGAAAGAGAAGTAAAATATTTGTTTAAACCATCCTTTTCACCCACGCTGCAAAGCACAGATACTCCTAATGTTCTGAGAATGAAGCTGGTGGGAAGTGCTGCAAGGAAGCCCCAGGCTTTCATGGGATGTGGTGCTGGGGTGTGATGGCACAGGGGGTTGCAGCACTGTGATGCTGCTTTAGCATCCATAAACCACGCACTTCAACCAGAAAATGGGCATTTTTTTTTCCTCTTCAATAACTAAAAAGCATCAAATCTTAATGCAAAGTGACTGGACAGAGCCCCATTGTGGAAATACCAGTTTTCCAACATCCTTCTGAGCAGCCTTGTGCCGGGATGGGATTCTGCTGGCTCATGCTCCCGCTGAGCGGAAAGAGGAGCTTTACAAGAAAACCCTGCCTCAGCAAGAAATGGGGTTTTTTAGGTGTTATTTTTTTCTCCCATTTCATTGCGTTTGAGGCATATCTACCAAAAGGGAAAGAGAAAAAAAGGGAGAAGGGGAAAAAAAAGAGTGGCTGCCGGAAGGAAGACTTATTCAAGGAACTATTTTCTGCTTGCCAGTTTATGCCTTGAATTTCACAATCCTGGTGAACTTTGTGTCCTGCAGAGGAGATGCTTGTGACTCCGGATCTCTGCGGCTCTCAGCACTGCTGGCTTCACGCCCCAATTCCATGCTTTGAGGCTGGGAAAGCATGGAGAGAGCTTTTCTATGCCTGGAGGGGGAAAAGCCCCTGTGGGGTGGGTGAGGATGGATGGGGTGGATGAAGTGCTCACCTCCCTCCAGGATGGGGTGGGAGAGTGATGCTGCTTGCATGGAGTGGGCTGGAGGGTGGCAGAGGGAGCTGGAGGTGAGAGCATCACATCTGTGCAAGCACTGTGCATCCCTGTTGGTCCAAGCCAAGGATGCAGGACTGGGATCCGGAGAGCCTGGATCTGTGTAGGCACCACATGCAGCAGCCCTGGGGAATGTTCTGCAGGTCAGGATAAGCTGAAATGCTCTGGGATAAGCTTTAGGCAGGGAAAGGCACCCAGATGGTGATGCTGCATTTGCTGTAGTGGTTAAGGAGGCCATGATTAGCAATAGACTGACAACATCCAGGTCTGAAAAGCTCCATATTTGTAAGTATGACCACAGCTTTGGAGACTTCCATCCCAGCAGAGCCCCCTCCTGTTACTGAATACCTCCTTGGTTGGTTTCTGAAGGTGTAGAACAGGGGGAAGAGCTTACCCTTTGATGGGCTAGCGGGGATGGAGGAGGTTTAGGAGGGTTCTGCCTTGTCTCTGAGCCCCATTGGGAACGAGCCCTGGGCTCTGTGCTAGCTCATGCCTTGGCTTCTGAGAAATCAGGAAGGCTGTGCAGGAGGACACCCACCCTGTCATGAGGAGCCAGAGGAAGTCCAGAGCTGTGGCAGAGCGCTGATTGCTCCTGCACTCCCAGCTAGGCACCAAAAGGACCCTCTTCTCCTCCCCATAAAGCTGGGACTATGGGGCTGGACAGTCACTGCTGCCCAAGTTACTCAGAATCAGGTTTTCTGCCTCAAAACTGGCACAGGGCTCAGTGCAGCTGCGAGGGTGAGTAGGTTATGGCAAACACACACTGAGGAGATGAGTACCTAACTCTGTGTGGGCTCTTGGAGATGCTCGCTGCCTTTGGGAAGGGTTGGCAGCAGTGTCCAGCAACCCATCCAGTGATGAGCAGGAGGGATGCATCTCACCAGACCCTGCATAACCCTCCCACAAGCACCCATCTCTGTCTCATCAACACATGTGGAGTTGTTTATCCTGTTCTCTATGTCTCCATACCTTCAAAGAGATGGGTGCTGCCCATAGGGCCAAGCATCCAGGTCAGAAGCAGAGGAGCACCATAGGGTTTTGCAGCAGAAAGCCCTGGCTCCCTGCCCTGTTTTGCTGTGAAACTCTCTGGTTTGGGTTAATGTGCTGCTTCTGCCTTGCTGGGGTGCTGGTTGTGCTTTCAGGGATGTAGGCAGCTGTCTGTGGCGGGCAGCCCTAAATCCTACATCCCTGGAATGGGTGGGAAGGGGCTGGATGTGCTCTTTGGGTGAGAAGGAAAAACGAGTTGCACTATTCTGGGATCTGCAGGCAGTGCACCCTGGGAGCCAACTTTTCCTGCCTTCTTCCCTACCAGCATCTTCACCTTGGAGGGTACTGGGTGTTTTTGGCATCATTTGGGAATTGGGGGTGAGCCAATGGCTCAGGGCAGCCTCTGACATGGGAATGTGCATGTCCCTTGGGCATAAGGTGACGGCATTCCCTGGAGGCTGTCTCCCTCCCCTGCCTTGGCTGACAGCATCCTGCTGTTCCCAAGCCCTCAGGAGGCAGGAAATGCCCCGGAAAGCCTCTCAGGTCACTTCCTTCCTTGCAGATGACCATTATCCTCTTTGCCTTTGCTTGGCAGAGGGAGGATCCCTGCTCCCATCCCATAGCCCTGTTGTGGGGAACACTCGACGGCTGCGGCTGGGGTGGTTTGGAGCCTCCCATCCTCACCTCCTGTCTCTCTCCTTGCAGGCTGCAGCATTTTAGGGAGTGCATCCGGTTCATCCATGAATGCCGGCTCAGTGGGGGCGCCTGCCTCGTCCATTGGTGAGAGCTGCCGGAACCCCATCGCATTCCCTTGGCATCGGTCCTCTGGGAGGTGGGAATGGGGTCCCAGAAAGGGTCCTCGGCATCAAGTGTCACCTGTGGTGGGGAGGAAGATGAGAAGGAACAGTGGGAGGGTGATAGGGGAAGGTTTCTGCTGCTGAGATCCATGGGGATCACAGAATCATGGAATCAGCCGGGTGAGACAAGACCTTTAAGGTCATCAAGTCCAACCTTTACGCCAGCACTGCCAAGGCCACCACTAACCCATGGCACTGAGGCCCTCATGTACATGTATGTGAACACTTCCAGTATGGTGACACCACCAGTGCCCTAGGATGCCTGTTCCAGTGCCTGATCACCCTCCCTGTGAAGAGATTATTCCTATGTCAGCTGCCTTTCACAGCTACAGCCTATATTTAACAAGGAGACAGCAAGCCATGCTTACTTTCACAGTGAGAATGCCATCTCCACTATGGTACTTGGATAGCAGCAACAAGATGAGTTGGTAGAAAAGTTTGGCTTAGATTCAATTCAGATTAGATTGGAGAGTTGTTAGATAAGAGAGTTAATATCCAATCTAAACCTCCCCTGGCACAGCTTGAGCCCGTTTCCTCTTGTCCTATCACTCATCTGGGAGAAGAGATCAACCCCTCCTCACTGCAACCTCCTTTCAGGTAGTTGTAGGGAGCGATGTATGCTCCATGCACAGAAAACCAGAGCATCCAAAGAGGCGGGATGGGGGAATCCATCTACTCACAGCCTCCAGCAGCACTCTATGTTCATGCAGCTCCTTACCCCCACCATAGCCCTGCTAGCATCCCACTGAGAAGGGGCGTCCATAGGGAGATGCAGCCCTATGTTGCGTGCATCCCTATGCATCCCAAATGACGTGTGTTAATCGCTATGATGGGAACACCTCTCCCTGACACTGCTCCCTCTCTCCGTGCCAGCCTGGCTGGGGTATCCCGCAGCACCACTGTCCTGGTGGCTTATCTCATGACGGTGACCGAGCTGGGCTGGGAGCGCTGCCTGGCCGCTACCAGGGCCGTGAGGTCCTTTGTGAGCCCCAACTTCGGCTTCCAGCAGCAGCTGCAGGAGTACGAGGAGACCTTGCTGCAGGAGGTACATCCCGCATCCATGTCCCCTTATGTGTGTGTCTGCAATGTCCCCTTATACTCGTGTCTGCAAGGTTTGCAAGCAGGGATGGCTCTTTTGCATGCAGCTCTATGCAGGGCCAGCTGTTTGCCTGAGCTGGCCTTTGTGTGTGCTATTTATTACCTGGGGATTTTGGGGTTTTGCATACAAAAACAACAAAAAAACCCTTAAAAATAAGGGAGTGCCTTGACATTGTGTGAATGCACTTAGAAAAGCTCTTTAACCCCCAGTGCTTTTCTTGAGGGCTCGGTTAGGATGCAGCAGGAGGGATGGGTGAGCAGAATGTTCCCTGGGAACCACGGCAAGGGTGCTGGGCTGGTTGCCTGGAATGCAGCACAGTGAGAGGTGGAAAAGGGGGAAAGGAGAGGGAGGGATGCTCTTGTGAACAGCTTTGGGATGTGCTTGGTGTGCTTGGGCTTCCCATACACCAAATCCACTGCTTTTAGAGGCAGACAAGTGACAAGTGTTGATGGAGAAGTCATCTTTGCTCAATCAAATGATGAGGAGCAGCAGGGTTAAGGAGAGCAAGAGCCCTGGTTGAGTGCATCCCCATCCAGTGTGAGGGCGGGATGATGTAGCTGGGCTGAGCCTGATACTGGCAGCTGGGGGTGACAGTGGCTTGTTTAATCACAACAGCACTAATTGCAGGGCTCAGGGATGCACTGTTGACCCAGAAAGCCATTGAAAGCAAAGGGAAAGGCACTCAAAAGCAGATCTCCCACACTGGATCCTGCTTCTCCATCCACTCTCAGGCTCTGCGGAGGACCAGGGTCCAAAACTGCATCTGATGGACTTCTGCAAGGACAGATTAACCCACAGCCTGACATCTCACAGCCCACATCAACCCTAGACTTGATCCCATCACTGAAGTCAAAGCCCACCCCATCCACAGCAGCCATGAGCATCACGCAGTGTCCCCATGGTCCCACTGACCACTTTGAGTGGGTCAAGGAGGTTTCTGTCCCCCAGGCTATAAGCAGGGACAGCATGTGACATGGTCACAAATGTCACCCATTCCCTTGGCGCTGTCACGTGCAGGACACAGCCATGACCCGTTATTGCTGCCTTGCAAAAACACCCATGGAGGAGGGCAGAGAATGGTCCAAGGGATTACAAAACACCCACGGCGCTGGAGATTCCCTATGGGGCTTCCCCCATCCGGTCCCCAGCCCTTCCCACGCTCTGGCTGTGTCCCAGCATAGGCTGCGGTGTGGGGTTTGCTGTCTCTTGCTCCCCAAAGGCCAGGCTGGGCTCAGCAGGCACCACATTCCCCTTCCTTTCCCTTGGATGCTGCTTTTTCATCTCCTCGAGGTTTTGCCCGGAGCTTTGCAAGCGTTTCCCTGAGGACACCAAAGGCAGAGCCAGGGGTCGAGGCACTCAGATGGGGTTTAGGAAGAGCTGCCTTTTCCTTGGAACACCGTGAATTCCCTGTGGTCCCAGCAGTGGGAGGGAAGCTGCGAAGGCCCTGGAAGGGGGCTGCTGCTGGATGCTGGAGCAGGGAGTGCTGCTCACCCTCAGCTGCATTTGGAGAAGGAGAACAGCCAGGATGGATGCTCCAACTGCTCCCAGCACATCCCTGCATCCTCTCCCTTTGCAAGAGGAAGATGAGCCGAGGGTCCTATGGGGTGGTGGATGCTGTAGGTATTCACTTGTATGGCCAGGAGCCCATAGGACCTGATACCATATGGGTCCTGCCCCTTTCTTCATGCCAAGCAGCATTTGGCTTGCTTGTGTTGGCTGTGGAAGGTTGCACCTTGTTCCTGTGGCTTTGAGATTGTTTTCTGTGTGTAGGTAGGATGCAAGAGCAAGGGTATCATGACCAGAGCTTCAGATCTTGATGAGGGTAGAGAAGAGGCTGGATTTCCCCATTTAGCCCAGCTGCCATCCCATCAGGCATCAATTTGGAAACACAGTGCATGGGAGCAGCCATGGATAAGGGCTAGGCAGGCTGCTCAGGAGGAAAAGCCTCATTTCTTGTGGTTAAAACCCGTGAGGAACAGGTTGATCCTCATGGGACCCTGCTCCATAGGGCTCTGGACAAGCATCCCTCAGTGTCTCAGGTTCCTTGATGTGGAGCAGGGACCTCAAATGGGACCCTGGGAAGTAGAAATGGGGAAGATGCTCTCTGGGACTGGCCGGAAAGTGTGCATGGAGCATGCAGTTGTGGTTTCAAGCTGGCAAATGGTGCTTATCAGAATGGATAAAGAAGGAAGGAAGAGACCAAGAGCAGCAGCACCATGATGGGTAAGGTCAGAAAAGGAAGTAAGTGAGCACAGAGAAGACAGCATGAATGTGAGAGAGGGTGCAGATGGGCATTTGGTTGACAGGCCTGTCCCCTGTGGTGCTGGCACACCATGGCCAGGCTGCCTTCCCACCCTGGTGCTGTCCCACATGGGATGGATGCTCCTGGCTCCAGAGAGAAGAGGAAGGCAGCAGGTAAGTGGTCAGCACTGGAGGAAATGGGCTGTAACCAGTTCTTGCTCTCACTTTAAAGGGAAATGCCTGGCAGCAGCAGCAGGGTGTTTTCCCCATTCTCCTAATGGATCCTTCCCTCCTTTTGCTGGATGGTGGGAGCCAGCTCCCACTGGACACATGATGTGTGCTGAGTCCTGGTGGGTGCTGAGCTTTGGTGGCCAGGCTGGTCTGCCCATGGAGCTTCATCCCTCTGGATGGTTTCCACAGGAGGAATGTTTCAAATCCTGTCCCAAATCCTTTGGGACTCACTTCCCAAAGAAATCAGGTCTGGCTCTCAGGGTCCACCCCAAACAAGGGGTCTGTCTCCTTGCAGGAGGCAAGTGTGTAGCAGCAGTGGTGAATCCCACTATCTGAGGGAGTGGATTTAGGAAATCCCGACATTCCTGGTGGAAATCCCCTCTGTCTGAGCTGACTTCCCCTGGCTGCAGGAGCTGCGGATGCCACCAGGGTCAGTCTCAGCTCATGGTCCCCGTGCCTGCAGCAGTGCTGGCAGGATGGGGCTGAACCGGCCATCCCATTTTCCTGCATCCTTCACCTTTGCCATGAGCTCCATGGCTCCTGGCCATGGGTTGCTGCCGTGGCACCCCGGGAAGCTGGAACCACTGCAGGGACCTCTCACTCTGGGGGTGCTGCTTGCCCCCTCCCTCTGGTTCCCCTGTGCCTGTCCCAGTGCTACCCTGGCTCCCTCTCTTGACCCTTTGCATCCACAGGTTTCACATTCCCGACTCCATGTCCTCCATCCTTAAGGGCTTTTCTGGATATATTGCTACCACTCATCCCAGTAACTCCTGCTCACTGGAGCAGCTGGTTTCCAGCTCCTTAGGAAGATGGCAAAGCCTTGGTGGGGTCCAGCAGAGCTGCCCCTTCCTGCCCATGTTCCCATGTGATGCAGTCTGAGCCCATTGGATTCCCCTTGGAAGCAGGAAGCATTTCCATGGACCATCTCTCACTTCCCACCCACCTCTGGATGTCATCCTGCCGCCAGCTCATCCCCAGGCACTGAGATGCTCCTGCAGCCTTTACAGCTGGATGCAGGGATAAAGGGAGGACAGGAGGTACCCCTCAACCAATGCAGGGAACAAGGTGCTTTGCAAACAAACCTGCCTCTACATGCAGGAGCTGACTTGGCCGTGCAGCTTGTAGCAGCGAGTCCAGCTTCTGGAGGCTGTTCCTGTAAGCTTTCCTTACAGGAATTCAGGCACACAAGGGAACAGCAGCAGCTTCTTGGCAATGTAAAGTAAATAAAGCTGCAGCTGGCGTGAGGATGCTGCCAGCTTCCCGGGTCTGCCTGTGCCGGGCTGGGGATGCGGGAAGCACTCATTGAGGGGGGAACTGTTGCATCTCTCATACGATGTGGTTGTGGTGTGTGAGCTCCTAAGAAACTGGGGCCTTTCTGCTTGCTGGTTGTGGCTGGGGATGTCCCGGCCTCACAGGGATGCTGTGGGCATTGCTGTTGCAAGCCCCATCTCTCAGCCTGGGGGTGTCTCATCCCCCAATGGCTCTAACAACCTCTCTTGCCTTTTTTCCTGGCAGTATCGTGCTTGGATCCATCGTGACTATGGCAGGAACCCATTTAAGGACCAGGAGGAGCTGCAGAGCTTGCTGGCCCAGCAGGAGGAGAGGCAGAAGGAGCAGCAGCTGGGGAGCAGGGATTGCTCCTGGCTCCACTCTCCAGCTCCCACCTACCCGCTCCCCTACCATGCAGGTGGCACCAGCAGAAGCAGATGGATGAACAGATAAGCTTCTGGCTGCTCAGAGGCAGACGTTGGCCCCGGGGCTTGGAAAACCAGGTCTTCCCTTTGCCAAGTGCCTCTGGGGGTTCATGCCTAGGGCAGAAAGCAGCCAGCACCAACCTCAGCTGTGGTTCGAGGGTTGGAGCAAGGGGGGTCAGGACTCACAGACCATCCCATTGGCTGCCAGCTCTGTGTGTTCCCCATGGCAAGGCAGTAAATTAATGGCAGTGTCTTGATCTGATCTGTTTCCCTATTCCCAGTGGATCGCAGCCCCTTTCCCATCACCCAGAGCAGCAGCAAACCCCATCTCTCTCTCCAGCAGCATGGTACCCAGGGCTCCTTTGGCTGCGAACAGGGATGCCAATGCAGACCTTGGAAAGCCACGGTGGGATGAGATGGGGAGATGTAATAGCATCATAGAGTCATAGAATAGGTGGTCACCTTGTACCCTGCTTTGCAGAGGAGCTGGAAGCTGATGCAGCCCTCGGAGGGATGAGTGCTGGGATGTGGAAGTGCTGATGAGCCCTGGTTGTCACCCAGGGGATGGGGATAAGGGGCTGGAGGCTCTTTGTGCTGCTGATGTCCCTCCTGGTCCAGCCTATCCTTGACACATGTCCATCTGGCATCTTTCTTTACCCAGTGAAGGGGGAAATCCAGCTGTGCTGGAGGCCTTCAGTCCCCACCGCCTCCATCCCTGCAGCCAGAGCAGGTTTGGGCTTCCCCTGCTGCCCAATCTGAATGTCCCTGGTTGCAAAAGAAGCCGGTTGCTCCGTTGGACTCAGTTGACCCTCAGCCCAATTTAACGCTGTCCCTATCTAACTGCCTGTTTAATATTGGAAGACGGTGACTTTGTCCCTTTTTCATCCCAAACCCATCATTTTCCAAAGTGTGGGCTTCCTTTGCCAAGGTCTTCATATCCACCCTACAAGGAAGGTCCTAATCCATAGATGCAGCCCTTCTATATTTAAACCTTTAACTCTTCTTTGCCTTTTGCTATAAATACCTTGCTTGGCTTCTCAAAAATATCTATTCTGAGGAAAAAAAAAAAAAGCATGCAAAGTATTTCCAGAAATTCCCTCAATTTCTGGGTACTTAAGTATGAGAGTGCCAGGGGAGACTTGACAAGCTCCTAATAAAGGGGAGAGTGATTAAATCCATAAGGATAGTTGGCTTTGATTTGTGGTGCTTTTGGTGGGAATGGGGAGATGGACTGACATGGCCATGCTGCTATGTCCTGTTTCCTATTTTCTTGATGAGAACCACCAGCAAAATTAAACGTTTTAAGGACTCAGTGTTTAGCCATAACATAGGATTCCAGGAAAAAAAGGACTGTGAATGCTGTTCCCTGTCTTTTTAGGTTGAGAAAGGGTCCCTTTGGCTGCAGTTCTGCATGGAAGAACACAGTGGATTGTGCCTGCAGCACACATGGGAAAGCAAAGCAATTAATGCGATCAAGGACCATAAATGCATAAATGCTGTTGGTGGAGTGGACAGAAGGGAAGTTGAGCAAACTGGGTCAATATTGGATTTAATGCCTCTGTTATCATTTTAGGAAACAGAAAAAAATAGAACTTGCACATAGGAGAAGAAATAAAAAAAGAGGAAAAGAGAAGAAAGTTGGTTTCTGGTGTAAATAGGAAGTCATTGGAGATCTGTGATAAGCAGGGGTTAGATTTGCAGTAGGTGTGATAACCTCCATGCAGCGCTGCTGTTCTGTCACCTCACCCTTCCCATCCCACCACTGGCCATCCAGGGCTCAAACATTCCCAGAGGAACTGCAGCCCCAAAGCAGCTGTTACCCCTGGGAAAACGCCCTGATTTGGGGAATCACAAGGGATGCTCCCCGTAAGATGCAGCATCACCCGTGCCCTCATCACAGCAGCACCTATTGCCCAAACAGCATCTCCTAAACCCAATGTCCCCTGAGTTTTGAGGGTGTCCCAGGGAAATATATGTATTTTTACACTGTGGCCTACATCGGTGCCACCTGTGTTGGCTTTAGGGCTTTCGGCACTGGAAGGCAAGCCCCGAAGGAGGTAAACCCCACTGACTTCTCTTTGCCAAGTGCCTCTGCTGCAGGGGAAACCGCTCTGTTCAAGTGTAAATGAGCTTCCCATGGTGCTGCTCACACACAGGGAAGTGGTTTACAAGAAATTCCCGGCTCTGCCGCTTGCCCCAGGGCGTGTTTCGCTTTTCCCTTTGCCATCCTGCTCCGTTCCAGCCGGCCGGCACCAGGAGCGGCCAAAACCCCCGTTTTAAGGGCGTTGTTGTTTTATTCTCCTCCCACTGGGACTCCCCTTACCCCTCAGAGGTGAGATTTTGCCTTTCCAGGCTGCCCATGAAGCTGTGAAGCCAGAATGAAGGCAAAGGCGATGAAATCACCCCGCTGGCAGCAGGGTCCCGTTTAGTCAATGGAGAAGCTGGATTATACAATTCCCCTTGGAAATATCCTGAATTTCTCATGACTTCTACAAAATAAACCTTTTTTAACTGGGGGTGTCTCTGTCCCGCATAGAACTGGTGCCATGGGGGGCAGAGATGCAGCTCCCCCTGCAAAGCTGAACTTGTTTCTCAGTAAAAAAAAAACCCAAAATAACCCTCCCAACCATGTCTGATTGCAAGAGAAGTTTTTGGCTCCCCTCAAATCTTATGGGGGTGTGGGGGATCTGATTAGGATCAGTTGAGTGTTTAAAAACAAGGGTTATTACAGATGTTATTTGTCAGGAATGACAGTAAAGGTTGTGTACCTTAGATCATTATTTTTATCGTAGCAGCTGCGCAGCTCCATACATTTCCCATTTCTCTCTATTACCCACATGGGAGTAATTATGGTTTTCTTCCAAGAAATGTGTGTGTAATCTGGTAATCCCAAAAAAAAACCCCTCTGAGGTCAGGCTGCAGAGGATCCTTTATTCTCCATCACATCCAGCAGCCCCAGATAGTTATGATGGGGATGGCCTGGGGCTGCCGTGCTCTGCCAGGGCTCTGATCCCAGCTGGAGCAGTGAGGGAAGGATTGATCTGGACCTGGAGCTGATCCAGGAGCTGGGGCTGATCCAGGAGGGAACTGGGAATTTCTGGGATATAGACTGATCAGGGCCTGGGGAGACTGCTCTGAGACTGGGGGTAAATCAACCAGGGACTGGGGAGACTGGTCTGGGATTGAGGATAGTCTGATCTAGGACTGGGGAGACAGGTCTAGGACTGCAGATGAACCAGTTGGGGACTGGGGATGGATTGATTGGGCACTGGGAGACTGGTCTGTGACTGGGGATGGACTGAACTTGGACTGGGGATGGAACGATCTCGGACTGGGGATGAACCAGCTCGGGGCTGGGATGGACTGGTTGGGAACTCTGGGACTGGGGAAACTGGTCTAGCACTGGATCGATGGCAGACTGGTGAAGGACCAGTCTGGGACTGGGGAGACTGGTCTGGAACTGGTCTGAGACTGGGCAGGGATCAACGGGAGCCTGCGGAGCCGGCCCGACCCCGGGCACCGTGCGCTCAGCGGGGGACAAGCAGGACACGATGGACCCCCGACGCACACGTGGAGGCCCCACCCCTTCGCTGACCACGCCCCATCACAAACCCCGCCCCTCCGTGGCACGCCCCCTCTAGACCACGCCCCCTCCAAAGCGGCTGATTTCTCGGAAGGGCTCGCGCTTCGGAGAACGCGGAGCCAGCCGCGCATGCCCAGGCGGCGACTTCCCATTGGACAGCGGAAGGCGGAGGCCCCTCCCCATTGGGTAGGGTGGGGGCGGGAGAGAGGGGTGTAAGGCTGGCTATTGGCTGGGCTGCTGGCGGTGTGGGTGTGGCGAGCACGCCCCCCTCCGGTCGGCCTATAAAAGGGCGGTAGAGGGGGGCGAGGCGTCGGTGCGGCGGCGTGGAGAGGGTGAGGACTGGGGTGCTGGGTACCGGGTGCGGGGCCATGGGAGGCAGTAGGGGTGCTGTGAGGGCTGGAGCAGCTCTGCTCTGGAGCCAGGCTGAGAGAGCTGGGCTGGGGCAGCTGGAGAAGAGAAGGCTCCTGAAGGGGAGACCTGAGAGCAGCTCCAGTGCCTAAAGGGGCTGCAGGAAACCTGGAGAGGGGCTTGGGACAAGGGATGTAGGGACAGGCCAAGGGGAATGGCTTGAACCTGCTAGAGGGGAGACTGAGATGAGCTCTTAGGCAGAAGCTCTTCCCTGTGAGGGTGCTGAGGCGCTGGCACAGGGTGCCCAGAGAAGCTGTGGCTGCCCCATCCCTGGCAGTGTTCAAGGTCAGGTTGGACACAGGGGCTTGGAGCAAGCTGCCCTAGTGGAAGGGGTCCCTCCCCATGGCAGGGGTTGGAGCTGGATGGGCTTTAAGGTCCCTTCCATCCCAACCCAGTTGGGATGAACCCATCCCCATGGGCCTCATGGTGCAGTGCTGCCTCTGCCAGCCCTATATTCTGTCTGATTGTCCTGGTGTGGGGCTGGTGCCCTGCATGCTGCATGGAGGGCTCTTTGCCTGTGTTGTGTGTGCTGATTTCTGTCACTGGGGCCAGCCTGGAGGGCTTGGGCAACCTTCCATGGAGGGGAATGGAGATCTAGCTTCTGCCAGTGATGATGGGAACAAGCTGTTTAGAAAGCTTGCAGGTCTAGAAGAGAGTCTCATTTCAACTGGTGTTTCTGAGGCTCTTCATCTTGGTATAAATCCAGAGCATGCACAGAGGTTGTCTGCTCCCATCTGTGACATGTGCTCTGGGGTATCCAGCTTTGGAGGGGCATCTGGGATCCGGCATTGTTGGCTGATGGTATTAGCTCTCACCATCCCCAAAACCAGGGTGTGCTGTTGATGGCTGTAGGGCAATGGGGAAGGGACAGAAGTTGGTGGCACTGAGCTGCTGTGAGCAAAGCAGGGACCACCAGTATGGGCTGTACTGGAAATGTTCTTGTTTTCACCCCCAAAACCTTCCTGTGGGGCAGTAAAGAAAAGGAAATTGGGGAAAGGCAGTCCTATAAAACTTGGAGCAGGGCTTTGAGCCTCGAAGCTGGTCCTGGGGCTGCTGAGCCCTCCTGCCAGGCCACCAGCTCCCGAAGTCTGTATAGGTCTTACCATAGTGGTGATGGAGGATGCCAGGAAGGCTGATCCCTGGTGCTTTGCCTTCAGTTGGGCAGGAGAAGCTTTCCCATGGCTCCTCCATGAAGTTACTCAGTGATTTTGGCTCAAAATGACCAGAGGTCCCCAACAATAGGGGTGTGACTTCATCCCGCATCTTGGCATCCATCCTCTGTTGGAGAGGGTCGGTAGTGTGGCCCCATCCCTGTCTCCTGCAGATGCTAATGGGTGGCTGCCCTGGGATGACCTGCCCAGAGTCACTTGCTCAGTTGACAGCAGAAATGGGTGCTTTAGACCCTTTCCACCTGCTTCCTATGTAACTTACTCCTTTTATTGCTGCAGAAGAGCACCATCACCCTGTTTTTGTGAGCAGAGCTTTGATTATAGAGCGGGAGGAAGATGTAATAACTCAAGAGTAAATTGCCTTGATTTTTTTCTTTCATTATGAAAGAAGCAGGGGGATGTTTTATTGTGCAGACATGGGACATGAGCACAACACAATCCCTTGTACCCCAGCTGTGCTGGGACAATCCTGGGGAGCTAACGGGGCTTGGATCTCTCATTCCATGCAGGATGTGCGACCGCAACGGCGGCCGGCGGCTGCGGCAGTGGCTCATTGAGCAGATCGACAGCGAGCTCTATCCTGGGCTTATCTGGGAGAATGAGGAGAAAACCATGTTCCGCATCCCATGGAAACATGCTGGGAAGCAAGACTACAACCAGGAGGTAGATGCTTCTATTTTCAAGGTAAGGCCAGATGGTTAATGTGTTTTATCAACAGTTCCTGACCTCTATAGTGCTGTTCTTCCCCATGCTGATAGTGCTGCTGGTGCAAGATGTCCATGCTGTCTATAGCTTTTGCATATCTAACCTTTGGAAGAGATGCTTCACCCCACAATTGGTCTCCCAGGCTCTTTTGGGGGGTATCTATTCCATTTTGCCAAATGTTGGTACCACTTTTA